CTCCACGACATGGGCGCCGTTCCAGAAGGCTGGCACGTACAGAATCCCAGATGAGATATTTGAGCAATACAATAATGCACAGCTGTCCACGAGCATGGGTCTATTCGCAGAATTGAGGATGGCATGGACGACGATTGACAATGCCTTGTACATTTGGGATTACACGGTGTCGAAGCCAGACCTCCTGGGTTTTGAAGGGCAGCCGCACAGTATCCTCGCTGTCAAGCTGGCAAAGCCTCGTGCCGGCGTCTTCTTACCACACATCACCAATATCATCGCCATCGCAACAACCGCGGATGTATTCTTGCTGGGGCTGGGAAAGGATCCTACTGGCGGCGCATCTGCTGGTCTCTCGCTGTTCCAGACGGGTATGTCGGTCTCGGTCAAAGGCCTTGACGTCAGCGTTATTGCCGCCTCTGAAAAGACGGGAAGGATGTTCTTTGGTGGGCGCACGGACAATGATATCTACGAGCTGACATACCAGCAAGAAGATCGGTGGTTTGCAAGCAAATGTTCCAAGATCTGTCACACAAGTGGTGCCACCAAATCCTTGACCTGGACATTTAGCAGTTTCAGCGGCGGTCAGAAAGAGTCCGTGAAGCAAATTGTGGTTGACGACAGCAGAGACCTGCTGTACACACTTTCTTCCGCCTCTAATATCCGCGTCTTCCACATCAAACCCGAAGGCGGTTTACCGCTGCTGGTCACCAAGCCAGCTGCTGAGATCTACGACAACATCGGCCACATCATCAACCAGAGCGAGACCCTGAACAACCGAGCCACGATCGTGTCGATATCACCCATTCCGGCTTCTGAGGCATCGAGGTATCATCTTGTGGCTACCACGGTGACCGGATATCGGATCTATCTCAGCGCCAAGAGTGCCACAAGCTACAGTTACGGCGCGCCAGCCCGTTCTGGTGCTCCAATCAGTGTGCAAGCACAGCATGTTAAGGTCCCGCCCATATCGCAGAGTACCGGGTTTGGGGTTGGAGGGGCGGCAGACGTCCATCAACCCATCAGGACATTGACGTATACTGGTCTTGCCGCGCGATATCCGCCTGGGTACTTCTTCTGCTTTGTGGCTAATCGACCTGATTCGCCTTCTGATAACTTGTTCATCTCTGCTCCGGACGCAGGCAGGCTGCTCCGAAGCTCCGAGCCTGGCCAACCAAGTCGAACCTCCGAATCTGCCATGTGGCTCGAGCTCCGTAGCCGGGCAGAAGACGTAGGCTTGGTCACACCATATTCTGCCCCGATTTCGAACCCAATCGGATTTGGCAACGATCTGGCCGTACAGTTCGACAAGCCGGTTCCGGAAATTGCCATATTGACGAACACAGGCATTCATGTCATCAGAAGACGGCGCTTAGTTGATGTCTTTGCGTCGCTGACTCGCATAGGTGGTGGTCCAGAGGGGTTCCAGCACGAAATCACCAACTTCATCCGAACGTACGGCAGAACTGAGACCCTTGCAACAGCACTCGCGGTGGCTTGCGGTCAAGGAATGGAAGACACGGGCAATGCTCAAATGCTTCGGATTAATGATCCAGAGGTGCTCGAACTCGCTCGCAAGGCGTTCATTGAGCACGGCGGAAAACCAAGCATCAACCAGAACTCAATCACCGATAGATCTATGCCTCTTATTGACGCCGTACGTCCGTCGCCTCGTCATGCAGCTATCGCTCTCTACCTTTCGCGCATATTGAGATCGACGTGGAAGAACGCGATCGCTTCAGAAAAGACTACCCCAGCTGGCTACTCGATAACGCCTGCTGTACCCTTGGAAAAACTGAGAGATGTCCAGGAAGCATTGTCGGCTCTGCAGAGATTCTTCCAGACAAACAAAAGCTTCATCAAAGGCCTCAGCGGGCCTGATGATCTCAACAGCACAAGCACCAAAGATGACGAGATCGCTCTGAAAGGCGAACACCGTGCCTTGCATGCGATGGTTAAATTCACGTCTGATACTATCGAAGGCCTCTCATTCGTACTGGTTCTGTTCGAGGAGAGAGTGGCCGAGATAGTGCCTTTGCTCCCTGAGGCTTCCAGACCAGAAATGCTGAAGTTGACTTTCGAGGAACTCTTCACCACAAAGAAGGGCTATGAACTTGCCAAAGAACTGGTAAAGGCTATTGTCAATCGAAATATAGCCAAAGGTTCGAATGTCGAGACCGTGGCTGAAGCTCTACGCAGAAAATGTGGAAGCTTCTGCAGCTCCGACGATGTTGTGATTTTCAAAGCACAGGAGCAGCTGAGACGAGCCACCGAGGCCGAGATGAACTCAGAGGTCCAGCGAAACCTCCTCAACGAAAGTCTGAAGCTCTTCGAGCAAGTGGCACATTCTCTACCTTATGACTATCTGGAATCCGCTGCGAAACAATACACTGCCCTGCAGTTTTATGCTGGGGCAATACAACTTGTGCTCCGGGTCGCGCATGAGAAAGACAAGGCCAACGAAGCCCTGTCCTGGATGGCTGAAGGTCGACCAGACCCGGACGTGCGGAAAGCAAAGTTCGACCTCAGAAGCCAATGCTATGATCTTGTTCATGCTGTGATCGCGGCCGTCGACCAGAATGCGGAGCAGGGCCCTGGCTTCGTCGACGGCCAGCCTACAATATCCGCCACAAGAAGAAATGAGGCGTATGATGTGATCAGCCGTTCGAAAGATGAGGCATTCTTGACGAATCTCTACGATTGGTATCTGCAGCAGAAGTGGTACGATCGCCTCCTCGCCACAGAATCCCCGTTCATTGTCACATACCTGCAACGGCGGTCATCGGAAGATATCCTCTATGCGGACATGCTGTGGAAATACTATGGTCAGGCCAACCAATTCTCTGAGGCGGCCAAAATCCAACTGCAGCTTGCTAGAAGTTCGTTTCCAATTCCTCTGGAGAAGCGGATTGAATACCTCAGCAGAGCGAGGGCTAATGCGTCGACATACACCCCCGGCGGCAACCGCAAGATGAAGCAACAATTATTGCAAGAAATCTCTGAGCTCCTCGAGATTGCAACCATCCAAGACGAAATCCTTCAACGCTTACAGGATGACGCTCGGCTCGGAGACGACCGAAGACAAGAAGTCCTGGCCCAGGTGAATGGCCAAATTCTGGACATCACCACTTTGTTCAACAACTACGCCGATAACGCCGGTTATTATGACCTTTGCCTCCTCATCTACCAAACCGCTGATCATCGTGACCCGGCACAGATCAAGCAAACATGGCAACAGCTTCTCCAATCGGTGCATGACAAAACGGAACAAGACCAGTCTTGCCTACCTTTTGAGGCCATTGCTGAGGAAGTGAGAAGTCTAGGAAGCAAGTTGCGCGTCTCTGAAACGACGTTTCCTGTGCACACTCTACTGCCGATACTGGAGAAATACTCATTCGAACATCAACGCAATGTCGCACCCCCGCACTGGGTCGTCGATATCTTCTTGTCGCTTGAAGTCCCCTGCGAACGTCTCTTCGAGATTCTAGAGATGAAATTCTTTTCGGGCGAGGCGCCCTTTGTAGGCTCGAATCGGAAATACATTGCCAGCGACCTCGCGTACGTGGTGGGCAAGTGGTTTCATGAGTCGACGAGGGCAGGCACCGTAATCTTTGGCAGTGAGGCCTCAGCAAGCAGGGTCCAGGAAACAATGGAAGCCATATTGCAGCAGGGACATGCTGCAGGATTGGACGAGGAGACGACAAGGTTGGCCAGGGAGGTGGTTCAGAGGGTTGCACAGTTCCTCGGGTGAAAAGGAGGGACAAGAAGTGGAAATAGCGTAGCAATGTACGAACACGCGATCGGAGCATGTGAAGCCACCGGCATATTGGATGTAGCACACTCAGCGGCCGAACAATCTCAATGAATCGTCAAAATCGCCAGTTGATGCTCCTGTGCTGGTGTTGTGACCCTGTGATCAAGCGGCCGCTGCATGCAAGGCTGACGCGACAAGGCCGTCAGTCATACGGGATTCAAGCATATATATGGACGTCTCCCTTGACTGCCGTGGCCATAATATCATCCCGGCCTTGCGAAACAGTCTTGATAGGTCCCTTCGAAGACAACAGCCTGAAGATGGTCATGTCTCTGGATATGTAGGCGGCCGGAAACGTCCCCACCAGGAAAGGTTACTTCTTTGTTGTGCCAGCTCCTAACATCGAGAGTCTTACCGACTTCTCTCCTCGACTTTCTTCAGAGCATGTCCGTCTACACCGGTGCCTGATGAACCTCTACTTCAGATCCCTTGAATTCGAACACCTCCTTACGGTTGCCAACACGCAACACGCTGGACTTGATACCCGTGCTCAGCTCCCATCCCACAACACAGCACAGCACGTACCGCGATGACGACCTCGACTTCTAAGGGACCACGTCGGCCCCTGACGGCAAGGAAGCTGGATATTCTGTACCTCGTGTTCTTTATCGTGCACGTGCCGATTATGTTTTGTGAGTGAGATGGTTTTCGCTTCCTGCTTGCGTATGTGTTCCTTCTGGCCTGGGTTCCCGGTTTTGGCTTTATGATGCGGGATGGTACTTTTGTGACGCTTGGCTTGGAAGACTTGGGTAAGAGTACCGCAACGACCATGCCAGAGCTACGTTTGTCATAGAGGAATGAGTCGATGAGTTGTTCTGGAGAGGACATAGAGGTGATCCCCGGCATAAGCTGGGAAGCCCGGGCGACTGAAAAGGGACCTGACTCTCACTTTTGCTACACTCTGTCTGTCTTTGTCTCTTCCCTCCCTCTCCCCTTGATCTACCTCGACTCGGGCCCGACTTCACATCGTTGCGCGGCCAGTGTTGTGTGTGCTCTCTCCGTTCTGCTCACACCGTCTCGACTGCGAGCTGCAGCTCAACACACGGCTAACTCTCCCTTAGTGATCGACCTCTCTTCCATCCTCCCTTCCTTCCTGGTCACACCGCTCTCTCGCACGCTGGTCTCCTATCACCTCGAACGGTTCCAGGATCAATTCTTCACGTCTCCGCCAGCTTGGTTCACGGTCTACATGTGGCTTGAGCTTGTGTACCATGTACCTGTCAGTCTGTGGTTGGGGTGGGGATTATGGAATGGTGAGTCTGAGACCAACGCTGGTTCATAAGTGCCTTTGATAGAGCCCCCTTTCCCTTCTCTTCCAATTCACTCCGTCATATTAACATCGACTCGCTCCCGCCGGACAGAACACCCCCTCGTCCCACTCAATCTCCTCGTCTTCGCACTAGAAGTCGCCATCACGACGCTCACCTGCCTTGCGGATATCTCTTCCTGGAAGACGTACACTTCGGCGCAGAAGAACGACCTATACAGCCTTTATGTCCCGTATCTCATACTCGGTAAGTCTGACCCGACACCTTCCACGTCCACGTCGTCTTGCGCTGGATGCGATGATCGGATGTCCTCGACTGCCTGTAGGATGATTGCGTGCCTCGTGGCTTGAGCGGTGGCTGACTTTGATTCCCCTCTACTGCAGCCTGCCTCATGGGCATCGACGCCTTCATTCGAGTCAAACGCCAGGTCCTTCACGGGCTCGTCCAACCAAAGGGCAAGGCTGCGTGACTTGCCCGCAAGGAGACGTTGTTGCAACCAAACGCACTTCGTCGAGACGGCCACTTCAGGAGCAGAGGACTTAATGGTCTGTGTTGGCGAAGCGCGATGCGGCGTGAAGAAAAGGGCCACGTACCAAGCGTAGCGGAGCAAGCGAGGGTTCTATATCGAGATACAGAGACCGTGTCTTGTGCCTTGGTCTTTATCTACCCTCGGCGAACTACTGTAGTTGTAACTATGCTCTCTGCAAACCGGGCTCGATTCGTCTCCTCTCGTCCACACCTCTATCTGCGCTCACTTATGGATCTGCCAAACCTACACGATCTCTCAGCGACGTCAGGTGTTCTTCAACTCTGCTGTACCTGAAATCACCTCCCTTGTCACTGTATCTACGTAACCTCGCTCGCAATGGATAGGTGGCAGTAGTGACACTCATCGAGGTAGAGTATCAGTTTACCCAGAGTATGATAATGCTGCAATGATATGTATGTAATACCCATTCAGAAGTGGCTTAGCCCCACTCGTGCCGTACACAGAGAAAGCCCCTGACAGGACGGAGACATCGGCAATGCGCATGTCGTCCTCGTGCTTCCTCGGTCAGTGAGATCGTGCGACTGCCATGCCAAGCTCCTGGTCGTCAGTGGCGGCGCGCGGCGTGAAGACCACGGCGTCATGACCGACTCGATGTTTTCCCCGCAACACAATTGCAATCGATCGTTGTGAACCCGCCAATCAACCGCCGGTCATATGGATCACTCTCAGTCCCAGACAAGAAAGTCCCTGCTCCGACATAGCGACTTTCAGAGCTTCGCTCCAGCATTTATACTTCTCTTTGGCCTTCTCGTTGTCCTCGCTTTTGGCATCGTCTTCCTCTCACCTGCCTCCCGCGCTGAGGTACCCCGACGCCCTGACCCCGACGTGGAACGACAGCCTCTGCTCGCCGACCGGACCGATCCAACATGAACCACGACGAAGGTGAAAGGCCAGACGTCGGCACCCTGACTGGCGAGGAAGTGGCAAAGCACAACTCACGAGAATCGTGTTGGGTCATTGTACACGGCAAAGCGTACGATGTGACCGAATTTCTGCCAGGTTTGCCCCGACCTTCCACGTTCCGCGTCGAAGCTCACTGACGCCGGTTTAGAGCATCCGGGCGGTCCCAAGATCATCCTGAAGTACGCGGGCAAAGATGCTACTGAGGAATTCGACCCCATTCACCCCCCAGATACTTTGGACAAGTACCTGCCGAAGGAGAAACATTTGGGAGCTGTGAACATGGAGACGGTCCAGCAAGAAGAGAAGGAGGAGAGCCCTGAAGAGAAGGCAAGGCAGGAGCGCATCAAGAACATGCCACCCCTGGAAGCATGCTACAACTTGATGGATTTCGAGAGTGTCGCCAGAAACGTCATGAAGAAGCCCGCGTGGGCTTATTACAGCTCTGGTGCCGATGACGAAATCACCATGCGGGAAAACCATTCAGCCTTTCACAAGATCTGGTTCAGGCCAAGGGTCCTCGTTGATGTTGAGAACGTAGACATCAGTACAACCATGCTTGGCACGAAGTGTGACATCCCCTTCTATGTCACAGCCACCGCGCTGGGCAAACTAGGGAACCCAGAGGGTGAGGTCGTCCTCACGCGAGGTGCAAGGAAGCACAATGTCATCCAGATGATCCCGACTCTGGCCTCGTGCAGTTTCGACGAGATTTGCGATGCCAAGGAAGGCGACCAATGTCAATGGCTGCAACTGTACGTCAACAAAGACCGCGCGATCACGAAGAAGATCGTGCAGCATGCCGAGTCTCGAGGCTGCAAAGGCCTCTTCATCACGGTCGATGCTCCCCAGCTCGGCCGAAGAGAAAAGGATATGCGCAGCAAGTTTGACGACACCGGCTCCAACGTCCAGAACACGAGTGGCGAGAACGTTGACCGATCACAAGGTGCCGCCAGAGCCATTTCCAGCTTCATCGACCCCAGCCTGAGCTGGAAAGATATTCCCTGGTTTTTGAGCATCACCAAGATGCCCATCATCCTCAAGGGTGTCCAACGGGTAGAGGACGTCCTCAAAGCCATCGAGGCCGGCGTGCACGGCGTTGTCCTTTCCAACCATGGCGGTCGCCAGCTGGACTTTGCCCGCTCTGGCATCGAGGTTCTTTCCGAGGTCATGCCTGTTCTCCGGGAACGGGGCTTGCAAGACAAGATCGAAATCTTCATCGACGGAGGTGTCCGCCGCGCCACGGATATCATCAAGGCGTTGTGTCTGGGTGCCAAAGGTGTGGGTATTGGTCGACCTTTCCTCTTCGCCATGTCGGCTTACGGTCTGCCCGGGGTGGACCGCGCAATGCAGCTCCTGAAGGATGAGATGGTGATGAACATGCGCCTCATTGGTGCGTCCAAGGTCGAAGACCTGACGCCCGACATGGTTGATACCGCCGGGTTGAGAACCCACACGGCCATCGTTCCCCAAGATACACTTGGCATCCGAGCTTACGATCCACTGATTACTCCGAACGAGATGCTGAAGGCAAGACTGTGATTTGTTCTATTATACTGTGGAGTTTGGCAGCAGGCATAACAGCAGCATTGGCCCGGGATTTTGTGTACTGTACAATGCTCCAAGTGGGAACGACCATCAGTAAATAACAGGAGAGGTTAGAGCCTTGGACAATGCATCAGGGGAAGACGAGTTGTATCAGATATACAGATGTATCAGATGCAGGCATTTGCTCTTCCTCAAGTCAAATCGATCTCCTTCAGACAAAAATCGATCTTCTTCAGACAAAAATCGCTCCTCTGATGGAGGTCGGAGTTCGAGGCAGATAGAGAAACGTCATGCGCGGGTCCATTGCGGGTACTCGTACCGAATACAGTGCACACCGAATAGCTGAAGAGCGTGTTCTTAAAGGTGAATTGACGACTAGGATGGGCCTGAATATCTATACTTTATTTTAGACTTCGCAATATATAGAGTTTGCTACTTCATCTGGAAAACTGTTTGTGTATCGATTCCCAAGCTGGCACAACAGCTCTCCTGCAAAGGCGGGAAGAGGTGATCCGGTACTCCGTACTTGCATCCCTTAGTGATCGCGATGGCATTTGTGCATTGCCCCCGTAGCTCCATGAGAAATCACTAACTGAAAATGGCTTGGGACACAATTGCTACCTAGGTAATTAGGTATGGAGTACACAGACAGACGGGATTTTCGAGATGGGTTATTATGTCATAAATTGTGCCTCAGCCGAAGAAATGGCGCGCCTGCCGCGCCCATCCTGTGTACTCACCGTACTCCGTACTGTGTGCGCTACCTGACCAGCCTTATGCACGCGAGAGAAGGGGTTCATGTGCCCTCGACCCGGTGATCTCTATCGTGCGGCTGGAGTGACATGTACTGCAGCATTGTACCGCAGCAAGGACCTCGAACATGTCTCGAATCTGAACGCTATCTCATACAGCCCGAGCATGCGGATGGTCCCGGAATATGCTGCTCATCCACCAAACCGGCGCCGTGAAGGTCGGTGAGGTCGTAAGGTGAGGAAAATCAACTCCTTTAAAGCCCATCGCTTTCTGTGTACTGATCGAGGGCGGGGCCATCTGCAGATACACCGTGACCTACACTCCCAGCCTCGACCGCATCCTCCCTCCTCCAAGCCACCTCCATGTCAAGATCAAGAATACGGTCGCCGCACCACTCCGCGCGGCATACCTGCATGGCCCGTACACGCTCTATGTCGCGTGCTACCCATCTACCTTCGACCCGTTCCGAAAACACGAGACTGTGCATACCGAGGGAGCGCCAGCCTTTGAACCACAACTGAAAGCGGGAGGACATTGGACGGCGAAGCTGACCGTGCCGGAGGAAGTGAGGGAGGATGCCCAGAGATACAGCACCGACAACCGGCTCAAGGGTGGAGGCGAGAGGAAATCCTTCACCTGGATAATAGAGGTCGCTTCGCAGATTATATTCTCCAAGACAGCGAGCGTCGAGTACGAGCTTCTGGTGGGACGAGATGAGAGGTCGGTGGATCTGGGATTTCACGGTGTCATCGGATCCGGGCAGGGCGCTCCGGGCAAGCTCGAAGATCACCAGAAGGGCCGTTCAAAGTCTACGCCGGCGCATCACAGGGGCGTCTTCTCCAAGGCAATCAGGCTGGTCGTGGATGATACCGAAAGCCTCTGGAACACCCCTCCATTTCCAGAATGGGAGACGGACGACGAGGGTCGGTCCCACGTGGCTATAGAGCAAGGCCCGCAGCACGGTGACAAGCGAGACGCGGGCGCGAAACCGGAGAAGAAGCAGAAGACCCAGAAGAAGATCCACTTGGTTCTCCTGACGCATGGTATTCACAGTAACGTCGGCGCGGATATGCTTTTCATGAAGGAGAGCATTGACAGTGCAGCGAGGCAGGCAAAAGAAGACGCCAAGAAACGGCGGGAAGAGTTGAGGACGAGACGTATGGCACGAGAGAATGACTTTGGCCGAACAGCAGTTGACCAGAGGTCCAAGTCCGTGCCAGACACAGCCCTCCTAGGTGACACTGGTGGAAACACTCCGGGTCCGAGCACGTCGACAGAAGATGACAAAGAAGAGGACGCAGAAGAGGAAGATGAGGAAGAGGTGTACGTGCGAGGATTTACTGGCAACACGGTCAAAACCGAGAAGGGGATCCAATACCTGGGCAAGCGGTTCGCGAAATACGTCCTCTCTATCACCTACCCGGATCAGCCATACCTGCCGGTCAAATCCTCCATGAACAAATCTCTGTCGAAATCGCTATCCGCCCCCATGTCGAAGACACCAGGTCCACAAGACCATGGCAGTACCCAGCCGGCACACAAGAACAGCAGCATCATCAAGGACGAGAACCACCGGTCTCATAATCTCCCTTACCGCATCACATCTATCAGCTTCATTGCGCACTCCTTGGGTGGCCTGATCCAGACCTACGCTATAGCCTATATCCAGAAGCACTCACCGGAGTTCTTCGACCTCATCAAGCCAATCAATTTCGTCGCCATGGCTTCTCCTTTTCTAGGGCTGAGCAATGAGAACCCCGTCTACGTGAAGTTCGCCTTAGACTTTGGACTTGTAGGACGGACCGGTCAAGATCTCGGTCTCACGTGGAGAGCGCCGACATTAGCAAAAAGCGGTTGGGGGGCCATGGTTGCTGGGTTCACAAACGAAGCCAACAAGAAAACACCAGACAAAGACTCCGACCCTGCAGCGAAGCCTCTCCTCAGGATACTCCCCACTGGACCAGCACATGTGGCGCTGAAGAAGTTTCGCAACCGCACTGTCTATTCCAATGTGGTCAACGACGGTATTGTGCCATTGAGAACCTCCTGTCTGCTTTTCTTGGACTGGCGGGGCCTTGGTCGCGTGGAAAAAGCGAGACGAGAGAGCGGTCTCGTGGGCACGATGGTCGGATGGGGTTGGGCGGAAATGCTGGGACACAATGCCAGCGACTCGAGGAAGACCTTGACATGGCAAAACCTGTTCAGCGACAGCGGCGACGACGTCGGCAAGTCTGGGAAGTCGCCTTCGGATCCTGAATCAAAGGTTCCCCAGGCGGAGACCAGTGAAGGCTTCGATCACGATCAGCGAGCATCGGAACCCGAAGACAACCAGTCCGTGGAGAAGAACGAAAGCGCTGTCGCAGGACGCACAGATGTCCAATCGAGTGCAGATGCAACGTCGGCACCGAACCTATGGACGGAAGTTTTGAATTTCTTCAGGCCACATGCAGGGCGGCCAAAAACACCTCCAGGCAGCCCTTCTCGAAGTCCCAAGAGGACACAGAAGATCTACAGGAGAGGTCAAATAATGTCTTATCAACAAGGAGAATCCGAATCCGAAGAGCCTTCAAGAGAAAATTCCCAAGATGGGGGCACGGGCAGTGCTGCTGGCAAAGCCCTTGTCCGAGGAGCATCGCTATTCGGCAATGATTCTAGGGATGATGGCAACGCGGAAGTTGAAGCACCTCCCAAGACGACGTTCTTTGAGTCAGCAGGGGATCTGCTTAACCCACCATTGCCACCCAAGGACTTTATACTTGACCCTGCCGCTCGACCGAGGACAATATTTCACGATCGAGTCTACCATCCCGGAGACATTCCACCACCGCCAGCTAAACGCCAACGGACATTCGGAATTAGGCGTTCCACGTCCAATCTTGCAGCTCAAGCAGCTTCTTCGTCACAGCTTTCACTGGGTCCGGCATCTCCTGAATTCGCCCGTCCGGCTTCAGCCAATCACCCTACACCACCTTCGCAAGTGAAACCAGATCACGGTCAATCTCAAACCCAAGACGTCGGCACCATGAAGATCGAGGAGAAGATTGCTCGAGCTTACCACAAGGATCTGTCATGGCGAAAGGTGCTAGTGCGGCTCGAACCGGACGCGCACAATAACCTGGTTGTGCGGCGCATGTTTGCCAATGCCTACGGTTGGCCTGTCGTCCGGCACCTGTGCGACACGCATTTTGCCTATACAGCAGCCGCGAGAACGAGAGACGAAGATGAAGAGAACGTTGAAAGGGCGATTGCACAGGAGGAGCCCCTCACTGGTGGTGAGCGGGGAGGTGAGAGTGTTCGTGGGCAGAGAGAGCTGCCCGACGTGAAGGAAGAAGGCAATGCCATCGACAGCAATAGGGCTAACACCACCGACAACATCAGGATTGAAGAGTCCAGTCCCCAAGAAGTCGAGACTCTGCAGACCGACTTCCAGAAGCTGAGTACGAAATGGAAAATGCATGAAAGCCCAAGGGCGGCTACAGCAGGGCGGACGAAGCGTACCGATTCCGAGGCTCGTGAGGCAAGAGACGATGTCTCGGAGCTTGTATCCCGAGTTAGTGCCACGGGTGAGAGCTATAGCAGCATGAACTCAGGTCGGGCGGCGCTGTCAAGACTCGCGAGACAAGACAGTGCACGGTGGAGCGACCGCTTCTTCGAGGGCAGCGATGACGGCGCCGAGGACGAGGACGAAGACGGGCTGTTGCAGGAGATACGGAGAGCGAGGTACAGAGGTGAACTCAATCGGAAGTTCAACATCGACTTTGACGTCGAGTCGGCCCCCAGTGACTCGGAGTCTGGAAGGACACCAGTAGAGAAGATTTCCAACGGTCCCCTCACGGAGAGTCCGAACAGTACCAAGCTGAGCAAACCCAAGGACAAGGGCAAAGGGAAAGAGTCCGAGGAACACATGATTACTGGATCAGATATGCCTCTGTCGGCAGAACCCGCTGAATTGGAGCCCCTTTCGCATTCCTCTGCAGGGACGAATACGCCCAGACACAACGCATCGAGCGATGTTGAAGTAGGCCCGGAGCTGGAGCCGGGATCTATCACGGCACCGGGCACAGCGGCTGCTCTAGGTCTTTCCCTGGATGAGAAGATCGACGAAACGCGAAAACCACAAACGAGATCTGGGGGTGCGGGAAATGCGGGAAATGCGGGAGGTGTCGCGGAACAGGTGGCATTGGCTACGACAAGGAGTCGAGACAGCCAGGAGGATGACTCGTGAACGGACGAGGGAAGCCGGTAGTGGACACAAGTGAAGGAGAAGTAAGACAAGAAGGACTTTGAAATGAGGTCGATTGTGTCCTCCTTGGCTTACTCTTCAGAGTCTCCATGCCCTCGGGAACTGGAGAGGAGTTGAATTCGCTTCGAAGAATCTGGGCCATCCTAAATCTTGAACGGTGACAGCGTCTCAGCTGCATTTCTGGGTCCCGCCTTCGATCGGTGGAATTTGTTCTTGGGGGGCACGTCCCGGTTCAAGACGACTTGATTTCTCTTTCACCCTCACCTCAAACTCTCTTGACCTCTGCCCTGTTCGCGAGCAAACATTCTTTCTGGTCTCACCACGCTGGCCATTCTCCAAGCGCCCAAACAAAGGTCGCCCTGCCAGGCTACAGATGGTCATGACAAGCAAAGCTGGTCGCAGAAAGCAGCCACCTCCAAGTCTCAAGCAAACTGGGTGAGCCCGAAGCGGCCCGTGGGTATTGATTGTGTGGAATTGATCAAGTCGTATACTCAGGAACATGTCCAGCCTCCCAGCGATGAACTGTGGAACTCGTTTTCCTGCTCTAATCGAGGAGCTAGTTGGAGCTGCAACCTCAGCGGACCGGACTGAACCACACACGAAACAGGCCTTCAATCAACTTCTCGACGATATCTCGACAACTCAAACCCTAGACAAAGCTAAGATTGTGATGTTGAACAGAGGTAATATCGCCGCCGGCAGCAAGCGATTCATGGAGCGAGTGACCGAGATTCGACGAAGGAATACTCTGAGTCTCCTCAAGGAAGAACTACAGCTTGCTCTGACGAAAGTGAGCGAGTGCGAGGCAGCGATCGAAACGGCATGCGGGGCGCCTAACGATCGACGTAAGAGACGTGCACAACAGGTGGTCGACGAGCAATTGGGTCAAGTGGAAGCGGTAAGGAAGCGCTTGAAGGCGGACGCGGCGAAGGTCGAAGACGAAGACGAAGACGAAGATGACTCTGATTTGGACGAACGACAGGAGTCGCAGGAACTCGGCCCTATCGCGCTTTGATTACGCTCGCTCAAGCGAGCTACACTATCAATGTACGGGTGGTTACTGGTTATAATGTGATTGAAGTGCATACATATGGCCAGGTGCGCGGTATCATGGAGCTGACGAGTGAATTGCATGTCCGCCGCAGGCCAGATAGAGCTCAGTCCAACGACGTGTTGAGCCGGACGAGATAATGCCAAGTCCGACTACGTAGACGGCAAGACAGAATGCTTATTCTGAGTATGAATGAGGTCAAATCACCTGAAGTCACTCGTGCGAATCAATTCTTGTCTCCTTGCTGCGATCCTGACTAGGTACTTGCCCCATGCCTATCAGACGGAGTCCACGCAGCAGGACATACCTACCTACCCACCTAGGTACTCTGGTGGAGAGACGAGGAGGGCGTTGAAGTAAGTGCCTCCAGAAGGGGCGGACATGTTGACCAAGGCGGGACAGCACAGGACGAGAGAAGTAAGTCAGGACGAGAAAAGTTAGTCAGGACGAGAAAAGTTAGTCAGGACGAGAGAAGTCAGGACAAGAGAAGTCAGTCAAGATAGAGCAGGCCAGGTGACATTTGTCGTGATTGAAGAGTACGAGGTACATACATTAGCGTCAGCATCAGTACAAGTATCAGCATCCAGCATAGCCCTAGACTCACCGTGGTATCGGGTATCTGATGTTGTATTAGGCATTCCGTATGGTATCTGCTATTTGGCAATGGTATCTGCTATTTGGCAATGGTATCTGCTATTTGGCAATGGTACCTGCTATTTGGCAATGGTATCTGCTATCTGGCAATGGTAGCTGGTATAGTACCAGGTATTCGGTCAAGGTATCATGTATCATGTACCTACTGGGTACCTTTGTGGACGTCAAAAAGGAAATACCGCTCAATTGTGACCTCAGCTTCAACTCCCTGGCGCGCAGGGGACGCGATGTTTCGAGGGGTGCCGGGAGTGTACGGAGTAGAATGTGTCTTTTTTTCTTCTTTGCGACTTTGCGCGGCGTGATACTGTACTGTAAGTCCGTGAATTCAACCCCTCTGCGACGTCGTGGGTCCGTTTCCGTAATGCAGGCACGTCATCCCAACCCGCTGAATCTCTCCTGTTACCTTAGTACCGTTTCATTAGGCAAGGGGCAGCAACGGGATCGTCGACGCTCCTGCTCTCTCTTTCTTACTCGTTGCGAAGGCACACGACAGCATGGGATCGGAAGAGGGGAGGAATCAGACGGGGACTGGAAGAGAGGAGGTAATAGACAGGCAGTCACGCATGCAGGTATCCGCGTCTCCTCGGTGATCATTATTGTGTACTATTATCGTTTTCACTGCCGGCACCACGCGGTCACTTCCTACATACTCGCACACCTCCCCGCCTCGGTTCATACCGGCAAACACGACCACGACCACGACCACGACTTGAACGGAGTGGAACGTGGAACCAACCAAAACTGGGAATCGGAAAATGAACGGGAACGACAACGCCCAGCGTCACAACTTCTCCGTCCGCTCCGCCATGCCGACCTCGGCGGCAGGGACAGCACCCGCAGGCGTGGGAGGGAGCACGTCGGCCCTCGTCTCGTCGGTGAACTTCAAGTCCTCGTCAATGTCGGTCGTGTCTTTGACCTTGAGCCAGATGACGGGCGAGGCGATGACGAGCGAGCCCGCGAGCAGGCCCCAGTTTGTGGCGAACTGGGCCATGAAGGACACGAGGTTGGCGTCGAGTTGCGGCGAGATGGCCCCGCCGGCGGATTGGATGCCTTTGTAGAAGCCCGTGAAGCAGGCGAGTTTACGGCCGTTGTTGGTGAGGGCGCCCATTAGCCTACATATGGTGTGTTAGTCAGAGACAGATGCAGAGAGAGATACCAAAAACTCACCAATAACTCGTCGTCTGCCACACAGAGTCGTAAGCTCCGTAGAACATGTACAGGAACATCGGGCCGACGTAGCCTGGATCGGTGAAATCCTTGGGCACAAAGTTGTCGTCTCCCAGCGTGCTCTCGCGGGTGTATCCCTTCTGGAAGTCGTAGCCGCCGCCCCAGATGACAAAGGTGAGGACGAAAAGTGCGACCATGACGACCTTGGCGCGGGTGGTGCGGCGCAGGTAGGTGGTGTCGAGGAGGAAGCCGAAGATCCAGGCGCCGATGATCTGGGCCAGGTAGTACAGCACGTTGTTGAGGGCGCGGGTGCGGATGTTGAACATGGGCAGGTTGACGTCCTGGAAGTGGTAGGTGTAGAACCAGTTGGAGGCGAAGAACATGGGGAACATCAGCACGATGTACCAGTCGGTGAACAGCACCTGGAACATGCCCTTGATCTCCGACTTCCACGTCGGGTTCTTCATCATGATGACGCGCGAGCCGTCGCTGCGGCGCACAAAGTGCGGGTTGCACAGGAAGCCGGCCAGCACGAAGCCCACGGCCATGAGCACGATAAAGGCAATGTACGTGCCGTCCTGCACCTTGTCCGTGGTCGAGTGCAGGTTCTGGCCCAGCGGGATCAGCGCGCCGATGACGGCCCCGAGGTTGAAGATGCCCCAAAAGGCCGCGATGTACTTGCCCTTGGAGCCCTCGGGCGGGTAGGCCATCATGACGGCGCCCTGGGCGGTCCACAGCAGGCCCGCGCACACGCCGAGCAGCGAGCCCGCGAAGATCAAGAAGCCGGCGTTCTGGTTGTGGTTGTACGACAGGATCGAGGCGATGTACAGCGCATACCCGAATCCGCCGAGGCCCAACGTCAGGCGCAGACCGATCCGGTTGGCGATGCTGCCGGCGAAGAAGCCCACGATGGAGAAGGTCGAGTAGACGGCCGTGTTGGCGTTGTTGATGTCGTGTGCGCCGACTTGGCCGGCCGCGCCCAGGCCGTTGACGGCGTTGAACATGCCCGGGCACAGGAAGCACACGAGCGCGACGAAGACGATTTGGAACGGCGGCGACGCGTAGTTGGGCAACGTGACGGGTCCCAGCTTCAGTTTGCGGTACATCCACGCCGGGCCCTCTTGGTGGTGGACGTCTTCGCCATGGATCTCGGGCGGCGGCGAGTCTGTCCCGGTCGTCTTCTCGGTGGCCGCCATCTTCTCGTTGGAGATGTCGGACATGGCAGACGGGTCGTTGGGCAAGGAGAAAAAGAGAAGGGAGAGGAGGGTGAGAAAGGTGTGAGCTGCCCGGTAGTGAGGCTCTAGATTTAAGGTGGGTAACGCGAAGTGGTAGTGGGCGGCGTAGCGGCGGGCGGAGATGACTTTCTCACCACCCAGTCGCGGCGCAGGTCAAGTAACTTTGCGGAGTCTCGGGGCTGCTTCCTAGTGGAGCTTGGGCTCGCAGTCCTGAAGCTTGGGCTGTCGCGTGCACTGGTCACTGGGGGAGGGAAGACTCTGGAGACGACTGACGACCGACGACCGACGACTGCAGGGCGACGAGAGGAGTGATATACAACTACGCAGTCTCTGGCTGGTTGCAACAAGGACCGTCAGGAGGTGGTATGGACGAGACCGCGATCGAAACCTCGCACGCTAGGCCACGGTTACAGCACGAGTGACCTCGAATATCAGCTGGTCGAATGCCGCACGCGATCGAGAGATAGAGCCGTAGCATTGTCGCGCCGAAGTGCAGCAACAGGAGCATCGGAGACAAGGCGAGCGGGTGAAGCACACGATAGCTAGCCACTGAGCCACTGAGCGTGTGCATGTCCCTTCTCCAGATTCCACGCTGACCAGGGAGTGAGATAGCGGACACGCTTCCTGATGGAGTTCTGTGCAGAGGCGGGAGCGAAGACTGGAGAGGCGCACGTGACCGAGATAGCCCAAGATTGCAGTGTCGCATTTTCTCTCCGCCTTGACGTTGCATTCACCCGCTGCTCAGATGCGACCCTGTTCACGCCTCTTACAAGCCGCCAACACAACGTCTCATCAAGATCTCGTCTGCCATCGTTGCATCCAGCCCGCTGCCTCTGGCCTGCCTTTGGCCTGCCTCTGACCTGCCTCGGTCGTGAGGCTCCACGCTCGAATCTCACTGCGACATGTAAGGAGGAAGAGGAAGACACCGAGACGAGGGTCGAACAAGCTCCCTCGTTACCACCGAATTGTGTCGCCGTCGTGGCCAAACGTGCCTCCACGCTGCAACATGACAGGAGCGTCTTCTCGCGCCATGACAATGTACAATCCGAGCCTCGCACCGGCCTCGCCTGTCATTTTTCCAGGCACGCGTTGTTCTGCGAACTTCCCACGAACGCTTTTCCCTTTGCCAATGGCCATGTCGCGCTCAATTCCGTAGCCCGCCGCCGGCCAGTCAGATCCACGGGGCCCAATACTCGTAGAATGTTCGGTATACATCTTTGTCACAGGCGAAGAGATTTTATGACGTGACCCTGGCTGCCATCTCATCTGGGGGTTACAGCATCGGCCCAGGCATATTATTCTGGTCTATGGCTGCCGCCGTCGTGTCTGAATTCCCCTTCCCTATTCTTGTAGGGCCAACCTACAAGCAATCGTCCCTTCCTTCGGTGTGGTGTCCTGCCATCTCTTCCCTTATCTCCCGAGCCTTGTCGGCCCATTTTTCACCATGCCGACGTCATACTCTGGCATTACCAAGTTCACAAACGGCTATCTCCTCAAGAATGGTCAGCTAGTATCTGGCGACCTCTGGGTCTCGTCAGAGACGGGATGCATCATCAGCCCCCAATCAGCCTTTTATTCTTCACATCTGCGACCCGACAAGACCGTGGACCTGCAAGGCCGAATACTGTCGCCGGGGTTCATCGACGTGCAGATCAATGGGTACCACAACTTCGACTTCTCGACGCCCGACGCCGAGTTCGCGTCAAAGCTCGTGGACACCACCCAGCAGATGATCAAGAGTGGTCTCACATCCTTTGTCCCAACGGTCATCAGCACCAGGCCCGAGGCGTATCGCGCCGTGCTACCTCATCTCGGCCCCTCGACAGACGATAGAGACGCCCGCAAAGGCTGCGAGAGCCTCGGGGCACACATCGAAGGTCCCTTCCTCTCCCCACTGCGGAATGGCATCCACAGTAAAGAAGTCCTCCAGGAAGCCCAGTCTTGGGAAGACATCGAGGAGTGCTACGGCGCCGACAACCTGCGCAACGTCCGCTATATCACGGCTGCACCGGAGCGCGGCGCCATGATGTCGCTGATCCCCGAGTTCATCGCCCGCGGCATCGTCTTCTCCGTCGGCCACTCGGACGCCACCTTTGAGCAGGCCCAATCCGCCATGGCCGCCGGCGCCACGATGGTCACGCACCTCTTCAACGCGATGCGCCCATTCGGCCACCGCGACCCGGGCATCTTCGGCCTCCTCGGCCAGTCAGCACCCTCCAGCCCCGTCACGACCCCCAAGGCGAGCCGCCCAGCCAGCGTGTCGAGTTCGCCTCCTCGCTCGCCGCGCTCGTCCCGCCGCTCGTCCCCCCGATCGAGTCTCAGCATCAGCACATCCATGTCCGAGATCGAGGACTCGGAGCGCCGCTACCGACAGCCCTTCTTCGGCCTCATCGCTGACGGCATCCACCTGTCCCCTCAGACCCTCAAGATCGCGTACTCGTCGCATCCCGAGGGCGCCATCCTCGTCACCGACGCGCAGAAATTCGCCGGCTGTCCTGACGGGGCGTATTCGTGGCGCGGCGAGGACCGGTTCATCAAGGAAGGCAAGGTCCTGAAGTTGGAAAGCAACGGCCGCATCGCCGGCAGTGTGGTCGACCTGATCGACTGTGTCAACAACTTCAAGCGCTGGACCGGCTGCGGGACGGCCAAAGTGCTGGAGACGGTCACGAGCACGCCGGCCAAGATGCTGGGCAAGGACGTGGAGAGCCGCAAGGGCAGACTCGACGTCGGCATGGATGCCGATCTGGTCGTGCTCGAGGAAGGTCTTGATGGGGATTTGACGGTGCGGCAGGTGTGGAAGTTTGGGGTCCAGGTCGTTTGATGGGGGAGGATCGATGCGAACCATATGGTTGGTTGGGGATCTGCGATTTAAGCGGCCGGGGCACGCAACGATGGACGCTGTTGCCCTCGTCAGAACTACTAACTTCCCAAAAGTCTGGTCATGTCACGTCACATCATGTCACGTCATGATCTGTTCTGTTCTGTTCTGTTCAGTTTGGCGTTTCCAAAGAGCGGATGTGTTTCTTGCTGGACGCGCTTGGCGCTTGACATTCGACGTGTCTGTTGAGATTGAGATTGGGTTTGGGTGTTGGTTTGGTCTACCGTTTGGTCGGGCTTGCTTGGAATATATCCTATAGACACACAGAGAGATCATGACTAAGTACGGAGTAGTTTGGCCTGCAAATGGGTGTGATGTCGCCATGATCGAGATATCAGAGTAGAGGTTCGTATACATGGCGTGTTTATGTATAGTATAATGTATATTATTGTGTAACTACTATCTGAGTTCATACCTAGGTATCATTTATTTTACCTTGGCCGTAAACTACCTAGGTAGAGCCTCAAGGTCATCATTGCTCAAATACTCTTCGGGACTTGATACCGTGTATGTATGATATGTAACGTATAAGATGTGATATAAGACTAAGATAAGACGTGACGAGATGAGATGTAGTATTGACATGATGCAGCGTAAAGCAACGGCAACACAAGATGATTACTAAAGGTACGGAGTATAACATGAAACAAACACCACGTGCAGTTCACGGCTCCGACACAGATTGTAGCCCAAGGCCATACGATAACCAAGTCGCATCCCCTTTCCATATCCACGGCTCTCAAAGCCTGCACCTGAACGCACAACGCCCGTCGCCCATCGCCCATCGTCCATCACTCCGCCCTTCCACGACTGCGTATGGAGCGCAAGCCATTCACTCAAGTCATTCACCCACTTCACCTACACACTCCCCGTCTCTTTCTCACTCCCTCACTCACCCACCCACCCACCCACTGACTGCCGTCACTGCCCCCACCGATTGCCCTCACTGCTCTAGCTTGGAACTGCCCTGCCGTTTAGGCCACACACGCCGACTCTCCCTCCTGCAGAAGCCACTGCCATCACGGCCCTGTCTGTCGACAATCTTCGGCAACCCGACAAACCTGTTGATCCAATTGATCACCACCAGATGCCACACGAGACTATTCTCCGGCTTCAACACCCAGTGGTTCTCGTCCGGGAAGCTCAGAAAGCGCGACTCGACGCCCTTCATCTGCAGGACGTTGAACGCCGACAGGCCCTCGGAGATGGTGAGGCGGAAGTCGAGCTCGTTGTGGACGACGAGCATGGGCGTGTCCCAGTGGGTGAGAAACCGGGAGGGGTCCCACCGGTCGTAGACCTCCTGGCGCTCCCACAGCGGCCCGCCGAGGTCGTGCACGGGGAAGTACTGCTCCTCGCTGGCCAGTTGGCCCGTCATGCTGAAGACGCCGTCGTGGCAGACGAGGGCCTTGAACTGCCGGCCCAGCGCGTGCCCTTGCATCCAGTTCATCATGTAGCCGCCGTACGAGGCGCCCAGGGCGACGCTGCGCGACGTGTCCACGAAGGGCAATTCCGCGCGGATGTACTCGAACCCCTTGACCAGGTCTTCGTAGGGCAGCCCGCCCCATTGGTTGCGGATCGCGTCCGTAAAGGCCTGGCCGTACCCGGTCGAGCCCGTCGGGTTGGGACACACGACGACGTAGCCCTGCTCGGCGAAGACGGCCGGGTTCCATCGCGTCGACCACTGGTCGTTCCACGCGCCCTGGGGCCCGCCGTGGATCAGGTATGCGAGCGGGTACGTCTGATCGGCGCGGAAGAACGAAGGGCGCATCATCCACGCGTGCACCGGGTGGTCGTTGGCGCCTTTCCACCAGATCGACGACACTTGTTCCGGCGAGAGGCCGAACATGGAGCCGTTCCGGCTGAGCGAGGAAATCACGACCGGGGCTTGAGGCTCGACCAGCAGCGGGTCTGGGTTGACCAGTGTGTACTCGCTGTTGTCGACCAGGTTGTTGCTCGACACGATCAGCAGGTTCGACATGGCTGACAGGGGGGCGAAATCGATGATGTAGCCGCTGTGCGTGAGCTGTCGGGGTCGCCATTCCGGGCTGGGTGCGGCGTTCAAATCGAGTGCGAAGAGACATCCCCGGCCCGTGTCCTCGGCCTCTAGTAACAGCATGTTGCCGTCGGCAGACCACTTCAACGCGGTCGGAGACCGGTCCCAGCCACCCTGGCCGTCCGGGGTGCGCATCAGCTCGAAGACCGACGCACTCTCTCCTCTCTCAAAGCCGTTCAGCCCCTGCACGAGGACGATGCGATTCTTGTCACTCTCGTACCCGTCTGTCGCCATCTGCAGGAACGCCATCGACTGCCCGTTCGGCGAAAAGACCGGGCACGAAGCCGCGCCGTCGAGGCCAGGGAAGTGCAATTTGTGGAAACTCGCAGGAGACACGTCCGTCAGATCTTTCTTGGGGATGAACCACGCGTCACACTTTGTATGCGTAGCGGGATCGAGCAGGGGGTCTTTGGCCACAATTACCAAGCCAGTAGGGCCGATGTCAAAGTGATCCACTCCGCCGAACGGTGGGATGGGACATTCCAAGTTGGTGCCTTGAAGAGCATTTTTGAAGCCATGCAAGCTATACCGTCCCTGCCGCGACGTCACCACGGGCTGCGCCTTTTGCAGGAGAGCCGTGAAGAGAGCGTTGCGCTGCTCCGTCACCCAGGAGTCCCAATGCCGCACGAAGAGCGAGTCATATACCCGAGCCGAAGTGTGCGACTTGGGCGCGTCCTTGGGGTTGAACAAGCTTCCATCCGGATTAGCTTGGCCCGCGACCGCGATGGCGACTTTCCCCGGCTCAATGACATAGAGCTTGAGACTGGAGACGGGGCCTGGCACGGTGCCGGCCGTGTAGGACTTGCCCGGGAGAGTGGCGTCCGTGACGACGAGATTCGTGTTGCCGTTCTCGGTCTCCTTGAGCCAGACGACCTCGTAAGCGGTCCCCAGCCATCGCGGCTCACTGGCTTTGGCGTCCTTGCTGATCGTGGTCTCCGTGCCTTGAGTCAGGTCGAGCGCCCGGATCTCACTCGTCCGCGCATGCGTCTGGAACGAATAGCTCGACTGGGTGAACAGCGCGAGCTTCCCATCCGGACTGGGGATGGCTGCCGATCTGCGTGGCGCGCTCAAGAGGACCCTAGAAATCGTGAATACACCCACTTTGACACGTAGAGGACAAGTGTGACGGGCAGCTTACTCAGGCGTGTATTGCTTGCGGATCGTCATGGCTTCGACGCCAAAAGGCCGGACAGGGCCACGAGGGTGAGGGAGAAGCTGACACAGCAGCCGACACCTCTACGACCAGAATCCGGGCTCCCGAGAACCACGTCGAGTTGTCTTCAGGTCGCCCTCTGGACGCGGTGTGAGTCTGCGGTGAGGCGACGGTGAGTCTGAGCCTGTCTGGCTTTTCCGCGCGTCCATTCCCAACGGAAACGCGGGGGGAGCTAGCCCTGTTCAGCGCCTGTTGCTATTCTTACGGCCTGCGGATTGGTGCGTCCGCGGTCTGGGCCCGCACGTGCTCATGCTGAGCGAGAAGATCGTTCTGGGCTCGCTGGTCACCGCCATTGTGAGATATCCCTCAGAGGGCGCGCGTGGTGCGTTGTAGCGACAGGGGTGAGTGAAGATTGACGTAGCATCAGTAATGAGGCAGCAAGGCTTCGGATCACGAAATATTCACGGCGTCTAGCAGGCGATCACTGCGAGAGAATGCTCGGGTGAAATAGGAAGCACAGCCACTGAGTCGCGTCCGGATGGATAGATATTCCGCTCCGCCCGTAGCATGTGACACCACGTGACCATGTCAACCACTCCCGGAGCCCACTCATTGAGACCTCGTACACCTCGAAAGAAAAACCAGAATTATGTAGCATTAGGCCCCGTTAATACACCCAGAGAAAGCCCGTCCCGTCATTTTTATACATCCCCACACTCTCCAAGTCATCAACTTGCCACGTATCCGGACATCGGGACGACCAGCCCTCCGAGCGACCTCGACCCAGGAGCAGCCGTCACAGACGGCCTTCCTAGTGTCCGCTCATGCTCCAAAATCATCCTTCCCACCTTCTAATGGTAGATGTGACCATAGTCAAATGAAATCTTTCCGGCTGCTTGTCCACCGAGGTTCCAGCATCCCCTAAAACGCCTCCTCAACCGGGCAATCCACACTGTCATGCCCGTCCTTTTCACAGAGTGCGCACCATTTCTCCGGGTCTATGACGCCGGTCGTCCGGCCGGCTAACATGCCCGCTTGTGCGCCTGTTCCTTCGACCAGCTTCGAAGTCCCAGGAGGAGGTGCAGCAGAGGCAACCGGCTCGTCGACGGGAGGCGGTGACTCTGGGCGCCCGGTGTCATCGGCTTGATGAGGCGGTGCAGGTAAATCTTCCTCCGGAGGAGGATTTGATGCCGAGTTGATGTGGGAGGCGATGGTGTTGTTCGTGAATTTCCGACTCATCAACGGAGCAGGTCTGTCCAGGTCGCCGCCGGACGAAGGCTCCTCCTCAAACTGCCCGCTTGGCGCCTCCTTGCCGGCTTTCCGAGGCGAAGAGTTTTTGCTGGTCGAGGCTTTCTTGCCGGGACCAAACATATTCGAACACGTGAGGATGTCGTGCCCTCCTTCCTCGCAGATTTCACACCATAGCACTGCACTTTCGGATGTGCTCACGTCTGTGACCCCGTCATCCGACCGCTCACGTTCTCCGTGGTTATGCTGTGTAGGAGAAGCACCTCGAGACGGAGCATCATGCCAACTCTCCGGCCCCATTGTTTGGCTATCGTTTCTCTCGTGGCCGGTCCCACCGTTGTTCTTCGCGCCAAGCACGACAGTCCGCTGACTCCCCACCGTGCCCGTGCTGAGATGCTTTCGGTCCAATTCTTCACTGTTTCCTCTCGAGTGAGGACTGCGCATAGCGGTATGCAATCCAAACGCCGCTCCGCCCACGGGCATGGGGAACTTGCTCAGCGTCACGCTGTTCCTCAACTGCTTCACTTCCTGCACAAGTTCCTCTTCATGCGCCGATTTCTGCTGCAGGAGCTGTTCCAGATCGCGGATTTGTTTTTGCAACGCGTCCTCTGCAGCCGTGCTGTCGTTGCGTTGATGTCCGTTGCCAATTCCCGAACTGGCGCCATTCGGTCGCTTGGGGCTGGCGGCGTTGAGGTTCTGGATGATGACTTTCAGGCCGCGGATCTCGTCGTCTTTGGCCATGATTTGCGCTTCCAGGGCTTGAACATCCGAGGAAGACGAGTACCCGCCACCGCCATTGAGCTGTTCTTCGGTTTTCATCCTTTCACGTTCTCGACGCAGTTCGCTTCGTGAGCGCTCGACCTCGCCGCGCAAGAATTCTACCTCCCCCCTGGCTTCTGCTTCTCCTCTCCGCGCGTCTTCCAAGCCTTCTTCGAGCTCTTGGACGAGCTCTTCCAACTGCTTAAGCTGTTGAGCCACAGTCTCCACGTCCTCGGAACGATCCTGTAGGTTGCGGACTTCCTCGAGGAGTTCGTCCACCCTCTTCTCATAGACTCGTTCAGTCTCGGTACTCGCCATTTCCAGGGTATCGATTGTAGACCGGAAATCTGCCCGGTTGGCATCGAATTCCGCTGTCAGCAGTTTGATCTTGTCATTCTTCTCCCGCAACGCGTCTCGGAGGGAGACGATATCGCGCGGCAAGTCCTCCTCGTCCTCCTCACCCTGGCGGGTCTGTTTACCTTCTTCCAGACTGGGCATCAGTTTCTGTATCTCATTGAAATTACGCTCCATCTCGACAAAGTTGGTGCTCTGGTCACGTAATTGCCGTCTGGCTTCGGCGAGTTCTTCATTCAGTTCGCGTATCTTGGCTTCGTACTTTTCGGTGTCGGCTTCGGCTCCCGGTTTTCTGCTGAAATTGGGCGTCGGAGTAGGCGTGAATTCGGCTTCATGTTCTGGGATTTCGTCAAAGCTCGATTCCGGGCCCAGGGAGGGACTAGCTGCTGGTGCTGAGCTGCCTTGCCGCAGACTCTGGCTGAAGTTGTTCCGTTGACCTGGTCGGGCGTAGGGTCCGCCAACTGCGCCTCCGTTTGTGCTTTTGGCCAGCCCAATGCCGCTGGGTCTCGTCTTTGGCGTGGCCAGACTTCTGGGCGTTGGTGTATTTACTTTCCGCAGCGGACTCGATGGTCGCGGAAGCGATTCTCTTCTGAGTGGCGGCTTGAGTCCTGGGCTAGCTGCGCCCGACGGCCTCATTGCTCCAGGGCCGATAGATTGGCTGAAACCAGGCTTCGCCATGCCTGTTGTGCCTGCGCCGGGTGTCCTTCCACCCTGATTAAAACTGGCCAGTCTGTTGGTCGGCGTCCCAGGTCCGGGACTCGCTCTGACGCCGCTGAGTCCTAACCCCGCGCCTCCGCCGCCACCTGCGCTGCCAGGTTTCTTGACGGCTTTTTCAAGTGGAAGGAATATACCCGAACCGGGGATTGTGGTTCGGAAATAGTGTTTCCCGTCTACTTCGCCTGAGTTCTTGCCTCGTCCTGCGTATTCTGTCGCGAGTTGGACTCCTGCGAAGGTCCCTTTCTTGCCGGCCACCGGTCCGATGAACTTGACCGTGCCGTACATGTCTCCGGGCACCATGACAGTGTCTCCGACGTTGATGTTCGCCATGCTGGGCTAGAAGACTTGTTGAAGCGACACTCGGAATTGAGGTATCGCCGAGATGCGCGGCGTTGAGAGATCCCGCGATTTTCGGCCACACCTCTTTCTTGAAGGTTGCTGCGGCACCCTAAGCCTCGACGGATATAGTGGTACCCATCAACCTTTGCTGATTCTTGCGAGGTGCGACCTTAGAGGTGCTGATAGCCTGGCAGGCCTCGTATGGTTGACACGGATCGAAAGGGAATAGGCAGGCTGGCAGGAGAAGCGAGTGGTCTCAGAGGGGACGTTGTGTGCGCCAGTTCGAATGCAGGCCTTGAGGATTACGGCACTTGTAGGTGATGCGAATTGTTAATGCCACGTCGCTGACATGAACACGTACAGTAGGCGTGCCCCCGTGTTGATGTACAGGCGGTCGTCGCCCGGTGCACCCGGTACTCGTAAACAAAGACGGAGCAACGCAGCAATGGGTCGTGCCGATTCGAAAAGTGAAAGGACACGCAGACCCAAGGCCAGTGGACGATGACAGGTGGACTGGTCCTCGCGGCTTGGTGGTTACCGGCGACCCTGCATGCGCCTGCGAAAGGGACGGTTGAGAAATTATCTGATTTGCTTAGCGATGGCGAGCTAAATTCGGCTGTCAAAAGGAGCAGCGACTCGGAAGCTGCCAGGCAATCCACCAGGCGACACACTCGCTTCGTCCTGCCCACCCACTAGGTACGCTCGTAACACGACTCGCTTCATCCTTGGGCACGATTCTTCGCTTACTCGCAGCCTCATCCGCGGCCTCATGCCGTCTCCTCTCGTCGGCACCGAGATTGGATCCGCCATGAATGAACTTCTGTTCGCTAACGATGGCCCAGCCTTGCTGATGATGAGAGCTAATCGTACGCCACAGGAGACAATTTCCACCCCTCCTCCGACGTCTATCATTTTGCATGCCCGTAGAACACCGAGCGGTCCGGAAAAACTCAGATCGTCTCACGGTACGTACATTGGACAGTGAGTGCGAGTGCTCAGGCACCGCCGACTGGCACGTTGGACACGACACCTCAGTCTCATCTTCTGGTGCCCTCAGACTCAATCTTCTCCTCTCCTCAAACTACAACTGCAGCCTGAACGTCTTGACCTCAAACGCCCGCAACTCAATCGCAATGCTGATCTTGTTCTTGCCCGACATTTCCACCTCTTCGCCATCATCCTCCAACACATTGGTCTCATACACTTTCTTGACGGGCAAGGTCGTCTCAATCATTCCGCGACTCTTCCCGCCTAGACTCTCGTAGATCCTCACGATCACGCTTTGTCCCTTGCGCCGGGTGAGTTCTCCGCGGGAGACATCCTCGTCGTCTTCACCACGCTTGACACAATCGAGCACCAGGGACTTGGCCCCCGTCACCGACACGGCGTTGAGCAGCTCCCTGACCGGCTTGTCATCAACCAGAGATACTAACGTCAATGGGTGGTTGAAGTTGTAGGCCGCCCGGATCGTATCGCTGCTCAGTGCTCCTTGGTGAGGCATGATTGCCCATTTGATGTGGTGACGGCCCATGTCGGCGTGTGCATCGGGAGCCTTGGGCGCCCGCAGGAGTGACAGTCGCATGAGATTGCCACATGTTGCAAACCCATACTTTGAGTCGTTCAGGATCGAAACACCATAGTCGGCTTCCGACAAGTCTGCGAACTTGTGGCAGCACACCTCGAACTTGGCCATATCCCAACTACGACTGTCAGCATCTGTGTTCGAGCATGTACGCAAAACTTACCTTGTGTTGTAGTGCGTGGGACGACGGATGATGCCGTATTGCGTCTCATAGCTGGCCTCGGTGTTGGTCACATCTACTGGGAACTCAACCTTCAAGAACTTCATGGTCTCGCGCCACTCAACCTCGGCTTCTACGAGGAGGTATCCCGCTTGGCTTTCACTGTCGGTTGCGTCCAAGCTGATGGTGGTTTTCACCCAGCTGTCCTTGCTGACCTGCGTCTTGGTCGCCACGCTGACCCTGTATGGGCCATCTTCAACGATCTCGGACGCTTCGGACTTCAGCTCCTTCCGAGAATCCAGGTGGAACACCTCCACGTCCCACGCTTGCCAGTACAGCGGCTTGTCGTCAAACATCACGAGCTGGTTGGCCTTGCCGCCCTTGGCGATAACCTCCCGATTTGCTCTCAGATCAATCAACGAAGTGATGACGCCGGCCTCGACCTCGACCTTGAAATTGCTGTTCTTCATCACAAACACGCCCTTCTTGATTTCTTCGACCGAGGCGGTCGATCGAATGGCTGAAGCTGCATGCGTCTTGCATATGCCAGGTCCACCGGACACATATGTGTATTTCTGCTGTTGGGACTTAGCATTAGCTTGTGGAATCTTGACCAGTTCAGAGCGCTGCCAAGGTGCAGTGTTGACGGCCGCCAACTCGGAATTGGCCTTAAGATGTCGTGATAGTCCAAGAACAGTGAGGGCTTCCTCCTTGACTTTCTCTCCCAGTTTCGCGTTGTGGGCGTATAGCTCGTCAGAGTCGTCGTAGCACATCTCAATCGAGCTGCCCGGCAGGCAGTCGTGGAACTGGCACAGAAGCACATTTTCCCACATCTCATCGATTTCCTTCTTGGGATACCTGTAGCTCTTGCTCTTCAGACTGGCCAGGGTTGCCAGGTACTCGATGTCGTGTAGCATGACCTCCTGCTTTCGGTTGTTGAGCTTGTTGTTGGCCTGTGTGGTGTACGTGCCTCTGTGGAGCTCAAAGTAGAGCTCGCCATACCACGTCACGAGTTCGGTGCCCGCCGCCATTTTCTTTTCCAGGTTGGCATAAAAGTCATCGACGGAATTGCCCATGTGGACCCGAGGAAGAAGTCCCACGGTATCACTGATACCACGACATCTGCGCAACTTCTCCAGCATTTCCCACGTCGGACCGCCTCCGCCATCTCCTTTGCCGAAAACCAGAAGCGACGTATTGTCCTGGTCCAGACTCTTGTGTTGAGTGACACTCCGTCTGACGTCGCCGAAATGAGCATCTGCCGTGTACGTCTCGCTGGGGGCCATATGGCAAATGACCTGGCTTCCGTCCAAGCTCACCCAGTTGAACGTCGTGTGTGGGAAGTTGTTGATGTTGTTCCAGCTGAGCTTCTGGGTGAAGAACCGCGTCATTCCAGCCAACCGGCAGATTTGGGGCAGTTGACCAGAGTAGCCAAAGGTGTCCGGGAGCCAGAAGGTCTGACATCGTTCGCCAAAATTGCTCTCAAAGAACCGTTGGCCATAGAGGAACTGTCGGACCAGGGACTCGCCGCTGGGCATATTGGTGTCGTGCTCGACCCAGCTGCCGCCGATGGGGTGAAATCTCCCTTCCTTGACCTTTGCCTTGACGCGATCAAAGACATAAGGATAGTAGGCCTTGAGCCACTTGTACTGTTGTGCCTGGCTGACGGCGAAGCGGTGCTCCGGGTACCGATCCATCAAGTCACATTGATTTGACCAGCTCCGCGCGACCTTGCGCTTTGTCTCGGCCCATGGCCACAGCCAGCACGTGTCGATATGGCAGTGCCCTATGCCGAATACCAGCGGCTTCTTGCCCGACTCGTATATCTCGGCGGAATCGACATTCTTGCCGATATACTTCTGGGCGATCTTGCGGCCTTGTTCGATGGAGGCTTGCGATCCGTTGGCAGCAATGAATGCATCCATGATCTGGTTACACACCTGTAGGGCTTCGTGCTTCTCCCAGCTGTCCCCCGGGAATTCCCTTGCGGCATCGCCGATGATCCAGAAATCAATGTATAGCTGGCGAGCTGCAAGGTTGACATCCACGATCTGTGCCTTCCACAAGGTGTAATGCTTGTTCGGGTCGGGCGGCTGTATGGAGTCTCCGCCCGGCGCATTGCCAAACATGCCGTTGCAGGCCATCTCAATGTAGAAAGTATGTTCTTTGCCATCTCGCCAGCTGTTCGGGAGTATCCATTCTGTCCGGTCGCCTCCTGTCAAGCCTTGCAGAGGCTTGCCGTCGTGCGTCCACACCATTCCTTCGTTGCCTGCGTCCCAGTGGAACTCGAGGTGTTCGCCATCCCGCATATGCTTGGGGACCATCAACTGCACCCGGAACCAGTGAGTTGCCCACGCCGGCCCAAACGACTCGCCTCGCCGCGTAGGTCTGAACGTATGTGAAGTGGCATCTTCGAAAGTCGGTCTGGTGAGATTGGGCGGCGAGTAGACCGACAACTTCACATGCTGCTCGTCGTCACAGCGGTTGTGATACAGTTTCCTGGCCCAGACTCGTCAGCATTCCTCCATACTGCACCTGGGCTGACGCAGGCTGCTCACCCGATGAGGTTCTGGTGTTCATATTGTCCACCAGAAGTGAACTGTCGGAGACGGTCCGTGTATATCGACTCGATTTGCTTTCCGACCGGTCGTTGGACGAGCTTCGGGTAAGAGCTCGTGGCCCGGGAAGAAGTCTCACCTCCCATGATGTGCATTCAAGCTCAGCAACAGTGAACGAACAAGTGAAGGTGACGGCCTTTCAGGAACGGGACAAGCTACATACACCGTCCTGAGCTCTGGGACAAGATGAAGATGCGGGGTACGTAGACTGCGGTGTGACATTGATAATTGGAGTCACCATGAGTGGCAGTGAGTGGTCATCTAATCACACAGTATGTAATTAACGACGAGTATTGTCTATGGGCACTGTCTAAGGAACTCCCCATCTAGATCCACGAGTCCTCCCTCTCAATTGTGGAATGCCGCAGGGCGCCTATCGAACTGCATGTCTCGGCCGTGCCCACCAAGATGATACTGTCCTTCAGCTTCCGTTGTCTCTTCTGCGACGATTTGGTCGTCAACTTCCGTAAGCCTGCAACAAGGCCGTTCTGTCCTTTGTGATATGCTGAAGCTAGACTCATCGATTTCCCCCTCTGCCGACGTGCACGCTGAGCTTCTTGGGCTTGCTGAGCCTGGTATTCAGCCTCTCTCTGCTGTTTCTTCTGCAGCTTGCCCGAGAAGATCTCGGCACCATACACTTGATACGGTGTGGCAGGAATAGCCAGCTGCCTTTCGCGCGGCGGATTGCTATTGTCTTCGGGCCATTCTTTGGCTTCTGCCGCACTCTTGCGAGAAAGTGACCGGAGAAGAGTGCCAACCCCTTGTTGAACACTGGATCTGGCAATACCCTTAGGTGCGTTGTTCTGATCTCGGCTATCCCTCTTCTTGCTCGGAGAAGGTGCTTCGGCATCTGGTGTGAGAGGCTCTCGCTCTCCTATCGGTAATGGGCTGCTGGGTCGGAAACTCTGCCTCGGCCGCGATTCCACTGGGGAACTACTAGGACTCTGGCTGACGAAGCCATGCTCCAACCAGTTCGGTGACCAGCTCTTATTACGTCCATGATTGTACAATGGGCTCTCCTCTGGGTCTTGATGGCGGGCAGGGTTGAACTCAGCAGGCTTCTCCCAATCGTCGAAGGGAGGGCTTGGAAGGCTGGAGCTGCTCATTGCCAGTGGAGGCGGGAGGAGGTCAGAGTTACTTGCATCGGATATCGTTACTGAGATTGCATCTGGCAAAGGGGGGGTGTGGGACATCGATATGGGCATCTCAATGGATGAAACTTGCGGTGAAGGTGGAGCCAACTGGTCGTAAGCTGCTTGTCGATGTATGTCCGCCGACGAGATCGATTGCGGCGATACCAGTTGGTCCCTGCGCTCCTGAAGCTGACGAGAGAACTCAGTAAACGTTGGAGCGTCCTTGTTCCTTGGTATTGCATCCGATTGTGGAGCGGCAGATCGAAGGGACACGGTGGATGGTGCCTTGCGCGGAGCGTCATTCACCATCGGCAGGGGAGAAGGACTCTGGCTCAGATTCAGTCGCTGGATGAGGAGCGGTGCAACGGTATCTCGATAGGCTTGTGGTTGGTGCAATACCGGCATCGGCGGAATGTCGTCAAGCTCACGGTACTCGCCATAAAGGCGGAGGATATTCGTGATCGTAGTGTCGGTACTGTAAACGCTACCCCGATCAACACTATAGACGCTTGATGACCTTCGCGTCTTCTCCTCGAAGGGTTCGAGTGGCAGTGGTTTGTCCAAGTCCGACGGTGTCGATCGGCCAGATGCATGATGTGGAGCGACCTGGAGAGAATGCGAGGGAGGAGAGACTGCGAGTTCTAGCCCTTGCTTTTGCAGTTCGAGGAGTGCTTGGGACGGAGGTGGAGAGGTCAGATGCATCCGCATGGTAGAACCTGGACGGGAGCTCATTATAACCATAGATCAGCACGAGTCGGCATGACATTCTTCCAGTTCGATTCAGACGTGGCCTCGTTGCGATGCTCCAGTCATCGTAGGCATATTGATCGAGGGAGGCGCAATCTCTTCCGTCGCTCACGACGAGTCGACTCGCCCTGCCGCAGCCGGTGCTGTGCGGCACGAAACAAAGAGACCGTTTTCAGGAACACCAGAGATTTAGTCCCGTGCTCGACACGTCTTCCATTGTCCCTAAGGCTGCGCCAGCGATACTGAAAAGCCGCCGAAGCCTGGTAACGGGTGGGAGGCCGTGAATAAAAACGGACTGAGGGTTGAAAGGTATTTTTAGTGTCGAGAGGAGGGAAAGGCTGCCCACATTCCACCGCGTACCACTGCGAGGGATGAAGAAGGACATTGCAATCTGCAGCGCAAGGTACGTACCCTACAGATTGGCGGCTTTGCGCAAATCTTCCTTTGTCAACTCGTCCGTCGGCTTCCTCACTTCCCCCAAGCGCCCGACTCTTCGCAGGCGACAGATCATGTCTTCGTCGCCGAAATGAGAGTTATGTTCGAAGGTAGGTTCTTGATCATAGGCGTAGCGTGCGGCGTCGACAAGGATCCGGGCCGTCATGCCGAAGACACGATATCGGGAGTACTTGTCCAGGCGATCAGCAGCGGCCTTCTGCCCTTCGCTCTTCTTCGGTTTGGAGACGATCTGATTGGTGACAGGAACAAAGAAATTGTGCATTCGCCATTGACTTTGATGCCAATCTGTCCACGATCCCTTGTACCAATCTCCGGGCTTGCCAGGAAGATTCTGGCCCGGTAAGTCTTCCATGTACAGGAAGTTCCTAATAATTGTCAATTCTACCCTTCGATCCTATGTGCCGTGTGGATACATACCTGAAGGGAGCCGAGAATACAGCGGCGACCTCCCTTGCATCTAATCTGGGAAGCAGCCTTTCTGCGACGTTGGCATCTTCTCCCGTCTCGGGATCGTAAGAGTGCAGAAAAGCAACGCAAGGGCGCACGACAAGCTCCGTTTTCGCAACTATGTCCCCGTTAGAACCTGTGGTGCGATACCGCGGATCTAAGAGTGAACGCAAGAGGCCGCAGAGCTGAAACAACTGTCTCATTGATACGGGGTGACAGGTTGACGGGCAGAGTGTCACGGGTGAACATAACGTACGATTCGTTGGCATCTCGCACAAATGTTCGACTCTAAAGGGCGGAGGTAGAGCTGATGCTTTCCTAGGAAGACCTATCTCTTCCGAAGCCTCGCGCCTTGCACATTCAAAAGCAGTTTCACCTTCTTCCGCCTTCCCACCCGGCAAAGCTGCGTGGCCGGAATATGAGCTCAAGGTACTCGCGCGCATGGTGATGACCACCCTCAGCTCGCCAGCAGGATCCGCAAACAGCAGGATCAGCACAGCTGCTTTGCGCGATAACGGCATTGCTGGCCATACTGTGTCGGGAGACTTATACGACCTGAGGCGGTCAATCGCTCTCTACGGGTCTGTCAGAGTCGGCCAGTCAGATCTATGATGTCAAGGGCACATACCACTGAAACTGGGGAGAGGCGCGGCATGCTGTCACTGGACGTGATGCTGCTTCTGCGCACCGACAGCAAGATATGTCGAGGCTTTCGGACAGCGGCTCGAAGACGCCCGGAAAGCATTGAGCGGTTATATCGATGCGATGAGAGATGGAAATGATGGATCCAGGGAAGACCGAAGGCAGAACATAGCCGAGGTATCGAGGGGCTCTCTTGCCTTCGGGGCCGCGACGCTCAACCCCGAATCAAACTCCCCGTCCGCACCCCGTGTCTGCGCTCCCTCGTGCCTGTAATCTGCAGTCGTGATGGGTCTGGGAGATGTCTTCAGGAACGGCGATTCTGTAAAGGACATCAGTGTCGCTGGTGCGAGTGTTGCTTGGCCTCGGGACCCCGCGACGCATGTCGTCGCAATCAGTCATCCTGGATACTTTTGCGGCCGCCGCCAAAAGTGATCTTCTGGCGTTTGGTCGACCTCCCATCCGTCTTGGTGTCTGTATCATCCTCGCCAGTGCCGGCCGTGCTCTTTTTCTTCTTCTTGTCACCCGTTTTCTCGGCTGTGAAACTGCCTGTAGGTGTGGCTGCATGGTTTGGGGTACTCGTCGCGCTGCTGGGAGAGTCGGAATCCCTCATGTAGGAGACGGAGGATCTCGAGAAGACGCGGTCGGCATCATTGATGGCAGCTCTGCGACGTGCGCCCACTCCTCCGCCCAGTGCGCTACCTGAAATCGTCCCGGCCGAAGCATTTGTCGAACTGGATGCCTTGATATAATTGTCGAAACCCTTCACAATATTCCCTGCGACGCTCGTTTCTTCCAGGTAGGCGCTTTCTTGACGGTGAATCTGGTCCTCGATGGAGGCCTGGATCTGATGAGCCTACGGCTTTCACAGTGTGCAATAGACGACTCACCAGGTTGCGATCTAGAAGCCTCTTTTTCTGCAGCGTATCCCGCAGGTCTCGTCGCAGTTTCTCGTAGTCTGCAGAGCCATTGGAGTCAGACCATAGTAAAGCAGCATGCAGAGGCTTAAACTCGAAGACTTACAGGGCAACCCAGGCCGATCGGAGCTCGTTACAGGTTTGGATGCTGTGTTGGGAGGTATGTTTTCTGCCATAGTATGTAAAGGATTCGTCCGAAACAGGGCACTGGATATACTGCCGAAGATCAATCGTGTGGAAAATCAGACGTCGAAGAGGTCAAGCTAATGAAGAAACGAAGAGTTTGCGGTGGGAAGATATGCGTGCGTGCGTGCCCGCGTCGTGTGGTGACTGCGCCCTCACGGCCCTCCGCACCTTTTAAGGATCGTGTAATACGGAGTACTACGTATCCCTCTTCACCTTCTCGTCCTCCAAAACCACCACAGCCTCTGCCACTTTCACTTACACGGCGTTTCGACCCTGACCGCGAACGTGAGACGTAGGGTGTTCTTGCACGATGGACATGGATCACGGACATATGGGACATGGAGGGATGGACCACGGCGACATGGACATGGGCGATCAGTGCAGCATGAACGTGAATATCCCCCCCTCCGATCTATTTCCCTGTCGATACTGACAGCACCAAGATGCTATTTACCTGGGACACCCGAAACCTCTGCATTGTGTTCCGCTGGTGGCGAATTGCTGGTCCTCTGTCGCTGGCTCTGTCTCTGCTTGCAATTATTCTTCTGTGCGCTGGGTATGAAGGGATACGAGAGGTCAGCAGGAGGGTGGAGGCACGACAGGCCGTCCAGTTGAGCACACACAGCATCAGCGCATCAAGTATGTCTCCCCTTGCCAACTATTGCCGTTGGCAGCCACTGAGCTAGGGAAAAAAGGTGAACACGAGTCAAGCTCACTGCTCCGCGTAGGAAGAGACAACAAGGGGGCAGCAGAGCGACAGGGAACCATCATCCGGGCGACGCTATACGCCATTCAAGTCTTCTATTCCTTTTTCATCATGCTACTATTCATGACCTACGTGAGTTCAGCTACCTCCGCATATCGGGACGGCGGTAAATGCTAATGATGGAGCAGAACGGCTGGGTCATGCTGGCGGTTGCGGTCGGTGCTTTTGTCGGTTACATTGCCTTCTCGAACAAGCTGCCGTCCACCAAGACAGTCGCGTGCCATTGAACTCATCAGTCAGTAGAAGCGGGGGGATGTTTTTATTCTGTGTCCTCTTCATCGATGTCATCCCCGAAACCGAAGCTGAACCCTTGGCGCTCTCCGTCAGCATTGCCCTGATCAGCTACTACCTCTTCCCATTTTCGCTTCCTGTTCTCGCGCTCGTCGAGTGACGCGGCAAGATCAGGATAAGATTGCCTCAAACGCTCTATGAAGAGCCCATATGGGTCCGTGACGTCGTCCTTGAAGCCCGAAACTTGGTCTGGTTTCTCCCTGAGGAATCGGATTGCTGATCTGACATGAGCCCTGGGTACGAAGTTCTGTGTGATCGCAATTGCTGGTTCGAGGTTGACGACCAGATGCCACCAGCCACTCGGCACATGGAGCACTTCGCCTTCCCGGCAGATCCCTTCAACACAGCCGATGGTTTGTCGGGCTTCGGCGTGGAATCCGAGTAACCATTCGGCTATACTCAGTGGAGAGGTTACTTCACTCTGATCTTCGGACATGTAGACACCGGGTGGTAGAACAGAATTGGGAAACATGATCCAATACTTCGAGCCTCGGATGACCGCGTTCCAGGCTGACGTTGCGTTGGGGTCTTTGTGAAACGTTGAGCCGCTGTATTTTGGCCCGATTATAAGCCATCGATGGTCTGGCCGTTGTTCCTTTAGGAGCGTAAACAGGTCTTCTTGGAAAACGAGTGGAGGCTCATATGCGTTATGCACCGTCGGGTCTTTGCTTTCAACTTGCAGCCCCATCTTCTCGACAAAGCCCTGGTCAAAGAGATAGAGGGGTGACTCATCTTGAGTAGTATTCATGTATTTCACGTACTTCTCAAAGGGCCATGTGATAGACTCGCAGACAAAAGAGATGCGCCCATATTTGGACAGCAAGTAGGCATCGTTCCATGATTCGAAGATCTTCCATGTCTTGACGGGTTGTGTCAAGATGAACGGTTTATCCACCCATAAGTCATTGAACTGGGCAGGAGACAGGTCCGCAAGGCGCGCAATCTCATTCTGCCGGGGTATGTTCGAGACGTAAGGGGTCAGCGGAATCTGAGAGCACAGAAAGGGCTGATAGAGTGCATCAGAGAATAAGGATGAGCAGTCGATATTAGCAAGTTTAGCTGATGGAAGACCCCTTAGAGAGGCTCGAAAACTGCCGCGCCATTCAAAGTCCCGCGTCGTGTTGTTCACGACAATGTCTCTCCACAGCCTATCGTGCGCAGAGTAGGCATACAGTCCTCGACACGTGGACCCCATTGCGACGAGATCCTGAGAATCCAGATATTCCAAGACTTCCAGCAGTAAGGCGCCAGGCAGGCGTCCAAAGAAACCCATGAAAGCTTGGGCACTGGGTTGAGAGGCATCAAGTGTCAACTCATTACCAGAGGGTTTCACACCTAGCGGATGTCGCTGTGATGCGTTATCGACTGGTTCCAGCCCATTTGCTTCATTGTCTATGCCGGAAGAAGACGGTATCTCTGAGAGTGCGGCCTGTGTCTGCAAAAGCGTAACTTCGCTCATCTGGTTGGAGGGCTTTCGGTATTTCTGAAAAGTGTCGGCACGTTACCTCCGAACCCGGACTGCGTTCTAGTGGCTTTAAGATGCGAAGATGAGTCACTGTTTCCATCCAAGCCTCTTGATGTCTAGAAGGCCGTAGACGTGAGTGCAGAATTTGAATAGTCTGTATCAGGAAAAGCGCCACCTTGGTGGGGAAAAAGCCTTGTGTGGCGCCTCCCACTGGTACTCGGTTTACCTGCCAAGATTTCAGTCGGCGCAAATGATACAAGTCTCATTTTTTTCTTCAACCGCCGCCATCACAGCATCTTCTGCGACACCAGAAACCAACACCACAACAACGCGAATTCTCACTACAGAGAATTCTTTGTCAAAACACAACACCACACTCCAACAACTCTCAACAGATTTCGAGGCTTCCAGCGTCGAAATCTCCCATCGTAACCGCAATCATGGCCGACAAAGGTGAGTTTTGCCTCACTTCACCATTACAAACCCAGTTGCCTAACCAGCGTAGGTCTCGAAGAAATCAATGAAAACCAGATCGAGTCGAACTACGATGAGGTCGTTGACAGCTTCGACAACATGAACCTCAAACCCGAACTCCTGCGCGGCGTCTACGCCTACGGGTTCGAACGCCCATCTGCCATCCAGCAGAGTGAGTACTGACCCAAAACCCATCCAAATCAATGCTAACCCACTCCAGGAGCCATCATGCCCGTTATCAAGGGAAGCGACGTGATTGCGCAGGCACAATCCGGCACTGGAAAAACTGCTACCTTCTCCATCTCCGCACTCCAGAAGATTGACCCCAACCTCAAGGCGTGCCAGGCTTTGATCCTTGCCCCTACCCGTGAACTTGCCCAACAAATCCAGAAAGTCGTGGTTGCGATCGGCGATTTCATGAATGTCGAATGCCATGCTTGCATTGGCGGCACAAACGTCCGGGACGACATGAAGGCACTCCAGGATGGTCCCCAAGTCGTGGTTGGTACTCCCGGCCGTGTACAGGACATGATCCAGCGACGTGTCTTGAAGACCGACAACATGAAGATGTTCATCTTGGACGAGGCGGATGAAATGCTTTCTGTAAGTGCTGTTCAGCCAGGTTTCAGCCCAAAGTCTAACCTTTGATCGCAGCGCGGTTTCACCGAGCAAATCTACGACATCTTCCAGCTGCTTCCGCAATCCACCCAAGTCGTCCTCTTGTCTGCCACCATGCCTCAAGACGTTCTCGAGGTCACCACCAAGTTCATGCGCGACCCTGTCCGGATTCTCGTCAAGAAGGCTGAGTTGACCCTCGAAGGTATCAAGCAATTCTATATTGCCGTTGAAAAGGAGGAATGGAAGTTGGACACGCTCTCCGATCTCTATGAGACAGTCACCATCACCCAAGCCGTTATCTTCTGCAACACTCGTAGGAAGGTGGACTGGCTCACCGACAAGCTGCAGGCACGTGACTTCACGGTTTCTGCCATGCACGGTGATATGGAACAGGCTCAGCGTGATGTGATCATGAAAGAATTCCGATCGGGTTCTTCTCGTGTCCTCATTGCTACCGATCTCCTGGCCCGTGGTATCGACGTCCAGCAGGTCTCTTTGGTCATCAACTACGATCTTCCCGCTAACCGCGAGAACTACATCCATCGTATTGGTCGTGGTGGTCGCTTCGGACGAAAGGGTGTTGCCATCAACTTCGTCACCGCTGATGATGTCCGCATGATGCGCGAAATCGAACAATTCTACAGCACTCAAATCGAAGAGATGCCCATGAACGTTGCTGGTAAGCTATCTGCCCCCGACTTGTGCTTGTTCTTCCGGCCATTTGCTGACATTTTCTCCTAGACCTCATCTAAGGTGGCACCCTCCTGCTCGCAACAAAACCGATCATCTCCGAGCTTGGCATGTGGATGGCGTTTGTTGCTGCACCTGTTCGCGACTGACAGAGAAAAGTGGGATGAAGCTTGTCTCTGACTACTTGGCTCAAGATATGTCGCTTCATTGAAAAGTCATGTATTTTCCACTTCATTTTAGGGTCACCGGGACGCTTGCTGCGGGCATACGAGCGCGGTGACGACACATTCCGACGGCCGAAGTGTCCCTTGTGTGGCAGATATCGCGGGCGTTTCTGTCTCTTTAATTTCTTAGCTGGCAATGGCTGTTGGCTAGGGTTCTCAGACTGCACAACACGGATCTGCACAGCATTCTGATGTGACACGAAATGGGACGATGGACTATTGTGCTTCATGATAGACAAGTAGAGAAATCCGTTCGAAATATTTGAATCCCTTTCTCAGCCCTCGCGGCCACTGCTTGCGCTCATCGCTCTTTCCATTTGTGCACAGCCAGCGAGGCAATCACAGTGGCTTGCAACCCTATGATTCCGCCTCTTACTTCGCTCTCATCCTCTTGTCAACCTATTCAGCCCGCCTTCTAGACTTCATTTCTGAAAGTTCCAACTTGTTTCATTCGCCTCACCAAGGTGGCGTCTGATCACATCGATGCCTCTCAACCCGCTTTCAGATCGGCAATTAACTGTCGCTTATGGCAGTGACTTGCTCAGAGCCCACCAAATCTGTCGTGAGAACATCATCTTGCAAAAGCAGCTCGAGGCTTGCCTCGAACAAGTCGTCGGTCTGTGCGAGGAAGTGAGAGGCTTGGAGGCCAACTATACCACCGCCGTCGAAGATGGGCGTGCAGCGAGAAGTCTCCTGGAAGCGCAGGTGCAGACACTGATATCCGACTGTCAAAAAGGTGTCGCCGCGGAGCAGCAGCAAGAACAACACTTTCAAGTCACCTTGGAGAGCTTTCGGATCGCTCTCGATGAGAAAGCCGACGCATCAGTGGTCGAATCACTCGCGAATCGAGTTGATCAGCTTCACGCCAACTCAGTAACAGTAAATGCCACATTGCCGCCAGTCAGTCGTGTATCCGATTCGATCCAGGTCTTGGACTCTCAACAGAATAACCATCATAAAGAACCATCAATCTCGGCGGAGCTCTCCAGTCGACTCGAAGTCCATCACGGGCCCCGCGAGACTGTGCCTGATGACCTCGATCTGGACGCGAATGCAGAGACGATTAGCTATGCCGGTCACCACCAATGTCTCCATGACAAGAATGACTCGCAGAGGATGTTGCCACCAACTGCGGAAGCTATACAGCTCGCCAGAATCAAGTCGCTTCGCCAGAGGAGATTTGATGAGTGGACTTCCTACTATGATCAAGGCCAGAGATTATTGGAGAGCTTGCCGAACAGTTTCGAAGAGACAGTCGTGCACAACTTCGTAAGCGGAATTCTCAGAGACTCTCATAGGAGACAATGTCAGCAATGGCTTGATGCGAATGGGTGGACGTGGGCCAATGTTACCACTTTTGGAATCTTGTGCTCACAGGTTCTCGCGAACAATGCAATACATCCGGCGGGTACCACGCAGGCACTGTCCTCGGCCCCAAGCCAAACGGACGACATGCCTGCCACGGCCTGCGCAAATGACAAAACCGAGTCCCGCACGGACAGCAAGAAGGCCCAGAAACCAAAGACTCGGCGGATCACAGGGACCGAACCTTTGCGTCGGAGCCAACGTCTTCTCGAGCATAGGTTGAATGCATCCTCCCACAGCACCCCTGCTCTGGAGTCGATGACGTTACACCCACCAAAAGCCATCATCCCTGATTCCAGCGTTCTTGCTGGTAATCAGGACACCAACACTAAGCTCGACAGGAAGTCTGAAGCTCGACCCAAGATGAAGAAGAAGCCACAGCCCAAGCTGGCGGGAAACACGGATGTTCAAAAGGCCCAGCAACAGCGACCTGAGAACGATTCTGCTGAGGGTCGTAAACCTGCCGGCGACAATCCGCCCACAGAGCACACACGGCAGTCAGAGAGCCACAGCGCCAGAAAGAGAGCAGCTGAGTCGAATCAATCCGTACATCCGAAAAAGCGACCGAAATCAAAGAAGGAAAAGGCTAACCAACGTAAAGATGCCGAATGTCGGGTGCTGTCAGCAAAGCCAGACGCGGCAAAGGTGGCAGCCGAAAGTAGCGATGACGAGGGCTTTTTATATGAAGCAAATCCCTCTGAGGATCTCGACCGCCAGGACGCAGGGGACATTTTGAGGAAACGAAGTCATGCCAGACGTTCAGGCCATGGTGTGCAACGTCAATATAGAACAGACAGATCGCAGAAACGTTTACCTCTGCCGCCACCTCCGGAGATTCCGATCTTACCTACCACGGAGGAAGAGTAGGCGCACAAGGTAATTGCAGACTGTATGGACCTCTGCGGAGATGCGATGACGGAGTGTCGCCGACAGAGCAGGAAGATGTTCATTGGGTTCAAGCTGTGATGGCTCCAGTGCAAGACTCAAGAGCCATCTCACGTCTCTTTGAAGACGTATCCGTCCACGCTCTCATCATCAACCACCGCGACTTCGATTCTGGCCTCGACCACTTCTTTATTGTCCACCTCCAAGCCGCACTTCACTATATCCCCGCCCTTCATGGGACCAACACCTTTAGGTGTTCCTGTCAAAATGATGTCGCCTTCCTCGAGCGCCATGACTTTGCTGATATCGGAGAGCATTCGGGGAATATTGAAGAGCATCAAGTTGGAGTTGTCTTTTTGTCTGATTTCTCCGTTCACACTCAACCACAACAGGACATTGTGCGGATCTGGAATGCGATCGAAAGGGATCTCATGGCTTATAGGCAGGAAGGTGTCAAAGCCCTTGGAGATGCTCCAGGGGAGGCCTTTCTTCTTTGCCTCATCTTGCACATTTCGCGCTGTTACGTCAATGCTCAGGAAGTAGCTTTGGATGTGGTCGAGGAATTTTGAGTCATCTGCCCGCAGGTTCTTCAGAGGCTTTGGGGTTTTCCCAATGACGAGGCCCAGCTCAACTTCATGATGTAGCGTAACTCCACGTGGGCGAATGATGGGCCCTTTGTCCGGCAAAAGGATCGAGGAGGGCGGCTTGAGGAAGAAGAAGGGTTGGGCTGGTCGTGCTGAGTTCAGTTCAGTTATGTGGTCCCTGTCAAGATGAAAGTGTTAGTCGATGAGCGGCGAGAATGATCACGGAGGGTGTGGCATACGCATAGTTGCGTCCAATACAGATGACTTTGCGGCAATTTGCTTTGATGCTGGCCATGGCTCACAAATACCGCTGGGATCGTCAGCGGAAATGATTTCAGTAGTCGGTGTTGGCAAGCTCTGCTGTGCCGTAAGCTTGAGAGAAAAGCCGCATTTCGACGTGAAGCTCCTGTGTACCCAGTATTGCCCCTCACCAATGCCGGCCGGTAGCAGCCACGCAGCCCACCATCGTGCGTGGAACTCTCGCCGTGCCGGGTCGCGATGCGATGCGGTGCCTTGCATATGACGCCATCTCGGGCACCTCTCGGAGTTAGTGAATTGAAGGTGCATTCACGGTATGAGTCTTGAGGCCAACGCTCGCTGCTCGCTCCCTCCTGCGGACAAGGACATGGCAGCATGAACCATCGCCGTCACCATCCAGCTTTCCTTTCGTCCTCTGTTACCCTTCTCGTCTACCGGTCGCTATGATTTCGCCGGCTTTCTACGACCGGAGCCGCACATTGCCCAAACCTCGACACGATTATTAAACTGCGATGCTTGGCCCTGCCGCTGCTACTGTACATGGTCGGAGGTGTTGGTGGCACCAAAAGCGGCAATTTCGCGCCGGCGCAACCGCTGCTTCACAATTTCACCCATGCACTTGCTCTTCTTCGACTGACGTCTCTGATGCTGAGTCCAATGTTACAGTGCCCCGGCTGTTGGGTCGACCTGCTGTATGTCCTCAACACCGGTTGATCGGCTCACACATGTCCGCGCGAGAACGATCCTTGAAGCGCAATGCATCTCTCTAGTGGCTCTCTTCACCACGCCCGCGATCTTGCAGCCTTGTCCATGCCCGAAACAACGGCTAGCCTCGAAAGCAATCGTCCTGTCTACTGCATACGGTGAGCATTCGAACATGGCGAATCGGGCATGGCCGCAGCCTTTACGAGTATTGTAACCAGCCACCTGTCATGAAATATCTCTCGACAAGGGACCGTTAGTACGCATCGGTGAACCAATATTGGGGGAAGCGTCCATATGCAATGCGAATCAGGTGGCGAAATCTCTGCGAAGCGTGAGATTTTCTCTGCTTTTCCGCATCCCATTTCACGCAAGGGAAGTAGATCTCGTACGGTGACATTTTCCGGAGGCGTCGTACCTATCAGCGGCGTCCTCTTCGTGACCACAGGACGGCGACTTCAGGCAGTAGGTGCAATGTTTATTGCTCAACCAGCAACATTTCTGGCCATTAGTAGCTACCCATTGCATTCAGGACAAGCCGTGGGCCACCGTGCTTTCTTCGCCAAGCAGGAAACTCTCTTCTCCCAGCTTGGCCCTTGGTATTTGATCTGTGGCAAGAGCGAGCGCCGTTTTGGGATTATGGTCGTCTTGATATCGGACGGATCGTATTCACGGAGACCGCAGGCTACCGCGGCTCTTGTTCGGCTTCACTTGCATAGGCGTGTCATCCAGCGCTGCTGACTAAACTCCTAGGCCTTTGGCTTCCTGGTTTGTGGCTACGAAGGCTCCAGATGCCATCCTTGACTACCGCTTCCAGTAGCGCAAGCCGCCCGTGTTCGGGACCAAGAAATACGAGGTGAGCCTCTGCCCACCACGTTGCGAGGATTCGGAAAGCGCCCTGCAAAGAATGTTGTACGATTTCGGATCAAGGATACATCGCGCACAACGGGATTGGGGATTGGCGGAATTAAGTATCTCCTGGAGCGTGGTTGGCTCGCTTGCGTTTAGGGCCAAGGCACGGCTGCAGAGAGGGACGACCCCTGTCGAGGTGGTCCATATTGTCCCGTCCGAGGCTGCCGTTCAGATTCAATGCCAGGCCATACGTCAAAGGGGTTCCGCGTTTGCCTGTGGCTCTTTCCCGCTGCGCTATTATCTCGAATGGTATCAGACACGCCATTCGTCAAGCATGTCTTCACGAGGTCACCCAGATCTCATGCCCTCGACAATGGAACCCTCCTTGCCTTTCGATCGACCAGGCTTACTGCTCCTCCAGCCGGTCTCCATTCGGCATGACATACCGGACGTGCGACCTAGATATGGGCATCATGTCCGTGTCCGTCCCATCGAGTTGCACCATGGACAACCTGAAATGCATATCGTACAATGTCACGACGTGGACGAGGACGAGGACGAGCTAGCAGTACCAACCCCGACTTCCTCTGGGTCAACCGGACACCAGATTCGGAGAGACTGTCGGCAACTCGACAGGAACGGGATGAGCTTCGAACGATTACTAGCCACGCCCGACAATGGCGCGCCGCCTTACGACGCCAGCAACGACTCTACAGCGCTCAAACACAAGCAACGCACGCACAAAGCATTGTGGGGTGGGGGAGGCAGGGCACCGTGTCCGAGACGAGTTCCGCCGAGACCTCGGCCGCTCCATCACCAGCAGCCATGACGCAGATCAGCGGCAACAGCACAGACCCCTTCAGCTACCTCGAGGCGCCGGACGATGCTTGGTGGTCGCACAATGCCTTCCAATTCGCGGTGGAGAGCTGGCTCCCGTCTGTCTTCCGAGACTTGGAAGTGCTGGACGAAGCAATGCCTGGATCGGATTCCTGCCTTGCAACGATCGACCGCATCGTGCGAGGCTGTCTGGAGAACAGGATGCATATGTTCTCTCTCCTTGCCGCGAGTAGTGGGTTTATGAAGTACATTCTGAGACTACAACTTGACCGGCACGACACGCCCGAATTCTGCATGGGCAAGGCTCTGCAACACCTACGGCACCATCTGGCGGGGAGCAATCTCCTGCCGAACGAGAGTCTCATATTTGATCTAAAGGCACTGTCGACCTTTGAACGATATGTCAACAACTTTGAAGGAGCCCGAACGCACTTACGGATGGTTCAGCACCTTGTTCAGTCACTCGGTGGGCTGGAGGCGATGGAACCACCGATGCGACTGCTATGTTGGCTATGGGATCTGCTAGTTGCGGGTGGTGCTGAAGAAACTCCGCTGCTGGCACTCACGTGGGATCCAGGTTCATTTCCACAAGAACGCATAGAGAACGAGATACTTCCAGACCTGGCGCAAAGTGGAATCATGCCAAGTGGCTCTGGGCTGCTTGAGTACGGGCCGCTCGTGCATCAAGAATTAACCCCAATCATCGGCGACACCGTTCAATGGTTCCAGGTCCAGCAGTACAACTACATCCACAACTTTACCAGATCCTCCGCCGAACAATGGGCCACAGAACGATCATACGCCCTTGTCCATCGCTTGCTTTCAATCACACCAAGTCCGCCGAGCGATCTACCTCAAGGCATGCTTTCCGAATGCATCAGGCAGATTATTCTGAACGTGATCGCCGACATGGAGACTGCACGAAGGTCTCGAGCCGTTACAAGCTCACTCAGAGATCCCACGACTTCCTCGTGGTCAGACGTCAATCGCCTATACCACTCTCTCAAGATGATGATCCAGTCGGGAGAAGACTGGAAGACTCAACACCGAGAACTGGTCCTCTGGATGGCCTGTCTCGGAGTACAGCAGACAGTGTCAGCGACGAGAACACCACCGACGCAGTCGCTACCGCCCGGTGGGGAAGAAGATGACCATCACGCCTGGTTTGTTGCGTTAGCGAGGCAGATCCTTGACAGTCAGAGGCGAGACGGACCGCCTGCCCAATACGGCCCAGCGGATGAGCTGGTGCAGGTCATGAGCCGCTATATCCATCGCTGTGAACCTTCCGGGAGGCCGAGCGTCGACGGACTCGAAGGGGTGTTCGAGACATGAATACATCGTGGACCTCGGGCGCCTCCCAGTCCATTACATACGATAACCCAATTAGGTCTCCGCACGGATTATATGCCTTTCTCCGGGGCGACCATAGCCTTTGTTGTGGGCAGTTCTGCGACCCCGTGGGATACGATATCTCATGTCGAGTTATGTCATGATATATCGTTAGACGACAGATTCACGACACGACCCAAGATTTAGTGCGGCCGATCCGGAAATAAGGGCCCTTGAGGCTGGCCTTTGGGTACCAGGCGCTCCTTGAGACGGTTATCTCAGCGTTACTATTGTCGAGCAAGAATGTGTTTCTGAACGACTACAGAGGGCAATCCTGCTCGAAGCGGACGGGATGCGGATAAGGAGGTGAAGGGGTACGAAGTGGATTGTGCAGGTACGCGAGCGACATCCCAATGCTGTACTATAAAGTCATGTACATACCTATGTTGATGAAATACGTCTCAGTGACGCGCGTGCATGCCCTGTATATTATACGGATGTATAACTAATTGACAACATATGTAGATATGAGCCCGGTTGATTATTATTGATAGATACTCTCCCCTCTCCTCCACCGGGAATCAGTCTCTCTCGATAGAGTCGTAATGTCCTGACTTGTGGTTCAAAGGTTGAAGACACAAGGGCGGTAATACTGACAAAGTACACGGCATTGGCACGACTCGTGACACCAAGTCTCCTCTGAACCATCCAAGTTGAGTTCAGTCGAGTCGAGTCGAGTCAAGTCGAGTTGAATAAGAGACTGAACGCACCGCGATACGAAGCTGGAAAACACATAGACTTTATTCAACCCGGTCAGGGACGGAAACATCAGACGAAGAAGACGGAGTACCGAAATCATTGTATGTAGGCCACCACTGTAAGTAAGTCTTACTGTGGTACGCTCGCTCGCTCGCTGAATCCCTTATATAATCATTCAATCGTAACACTACTTTACTACCGTGGCTAAGAGGAAGGAAGCATTCATCACACTGCTTTTGCTACCGTAGCTAAGAGGAAGCGAGAAAGGGGAGAATCGCACCACGGAATATGTAATAGTACCTATTTTGCCTCCTATCAAGCATGAACGCAAGCTATACTATAAGTCGAAGTGGATACATCAGTTACATAGGTACTGTACTACCGGTACATAGTTTCAGCCACGACCATTCGGAGGGATTGTTTCGGGTCGCTGCGATGCGAGTGTATTTCAGGTCCCGCCGATCTGCGTACTGTATGCTGGCTGAGGTATATAGGCATAGGCATAGGCATAGGCAATTTCCATTTGCATCCATATTCCTCGAGGCGGGCCGGCGGACCAGCAGGCTAGCCAGTCAAGCATATTTGCATGCAAGCGTGTACCGTAGGAGCCCAGCAAGGATAACGAGCACAGCAAGTACAACAAGTACAGCAAGTACAGTAAGTGCAGCAAGTACAGCGGAACAGGAAAAGGGACCACCAACAGTTCAGTAGGGGTACTGCATAGCATTAAGAAAACGTCGAACACCTCTACATACTCGTGATTGGATACCGTGTCTAACTAACATTAGAGGACTCTAGAAAGAGGGTGTCGTATTCGATGGCAGGACTGGACATGGCGTTTTGGTACCTCATATGCCGTGTCGGGTACGCCGTTTCTTTGGTGAAAGGAGAAAACTACGTAGATTCAGCCCCGGATGGATAACGAGGTATCAGTGCCGGATGAGCAGCCCAAAGCCAATACAAAGAAATGCCTCAACAGCTATTGATCGTGCTTTAGAAGCAGCAACATGACGCCGGAGTAATACGTGTAAGGCGACCAGGCATAAGTACGCACAATGTGTTGAACGCCAGCCACGGCTCCCTCTTGGTGGAACTTCCTGGTTCCGCATTCAGCCAGCATGTACTGCTCCTGCGAGCTGCCGACTCTTCTAGCCGCTGCGTAGAGACATGGCTTTGACCCTGCGAGACTCACTCAGCTGAGCGCAGTTATTGCGGTCGCCAGCCCTTGGCCAGGCGTCAGGCTTAAGCGAATATCTCCACTGCGATATAGGAGAAATAAACAACGCGGTCTCAGTGACTTATTCGGGAGGAACCAGATGACGAGCGGGTTGAGTTGAGGCGTTGAGAAGGATGCCACCTCCGGTTGGTGGCTCGATGGAATCGTCTGTCCCCGAGGTCACAACGTCTCCTCCGTCGTCAGCGAGGATTTGGCCGGTTGTCGAGCTGACCGTTGCTGGCTCGATGAGATGTCGACGCCGCCCCCATTGTTATCCACCCTGCATGGTGACTTCCCTGGTCCCATGAACTCTGGCTCACACCAGACACACTGCCGACGTGGGGTGCCTTCGTCTTCCTGGCTCGTTTTGGACTGCTCTTGCAATCTGCTTGGAAGGTGTCGTGTTGGGATCACCAATACTTATGGCAATGAGAGAAGCAAATGGACGTCAAACGAGACGCATGACTGCCAAGGCGCGGAATTGTGAAAGAGTACCAGGCAAAAGGTGTAAGGGTGATGAGACGATGAGATGGATGGTCTATATTGCAACCAACGTTGTCTGGATATTTGAAAATATATGACTGATATATCTCACAGCCAAGCAATAGCTGCTGAGTTCATCGATCTCGCAGACAGTACTCAGCAGGTGGTAATGCTGTATCTAGCTCGAGTAGAGTCAGTAACCACAATGGGCTATCTCAGCTGGCATGGTGGTGTCTTTCTGACACCCACGGTTTGTTGTCGCACCACGGGCTGCCTTCAGGCTGCCATGATCTGCGCGATCAGGTCCGTCCCCATCCCAGCTTCCGCCACATGTAAGCCTGTTGGCATCTGCCACCTCATGATGTACACGACATCCGTCGTGTCGCTGGTCATGGGTTTCCGGCGCGTAGAGCGAGGAGGTGCTGGTCAAGCACTTTGGTCACGAGCAAGAGCCGTTGTCTCGTCGCCATTCTCGCTGGTCGATCGGGAATAGGTGGAGGGGTGGCAGGGGTCCGACGTCGGATGATCACCTTGATGCGGGATATCTGAAAGCCACCTTCGCCTGGTGCAGGACAGCTTACATAAGGCCGTACAGTCTTCGCTCAGCTTGTACGAACTTTTCTGAGACGTTCGGACCAGCTCGGACCTGCTGCAGCCCATCCAGCCGGGATGTCGGAAGGATTCGAGGCTCGACCAGCACCATGTGAGGTCCCTATGGGATGGCGTGTTTGAACTCGCTCAAGGCTTGTCGTCATTCCGGGGATCAGGGAGCATCGGCCAGAGCCACAGCAACAGCAGCACCAAAGACTGCCGCCTCATTGGTAGGCTCCAGCACGATTTTCTCCGCAGCAAAGGTACTCCCAGGCGATGATGCTGCCTCGATCATTTGCCTAATGAATCCTTCGCATCGATCTTTAAACCCTGGGTATTTGAGGATGACGCTCCCGTTACATGCAATCGATGTCTTCGGGGTGCCGTTTGGCGTGGTGGGGTTGACATCGGTGTCTTTCTGCAAGGCCCAAAGCCCATGTACTGCAACAGCCATATAAGCAGAAGCTCGGTACGAAATTGACTCGGCGGCAGCGCGGAGGAATTGCACTTCTTTCAGTGAGGGAGCCTTCTTCAACCCGAACGCCTTCTTGATCATTGCAATGGACTGCTGCATGGTCTTCGTTGTGTCCATTTCAAGCCTTGCCATGACTTCCGTATCCAACGAGTAGCACTCTCGCAATACCTCCGGCATCGCGCCATTGAACAGCTCTCCGGTGCCCACGGCTTCGATGACGATTAATCTCAGCAATTCACCCAGGTAGCGACCTGTCGTCATGTACTCGAGAGGCTGAAAGTCGGGCCTCTGGTGCTGTCTGTTGAGCAATTCGTCCCATCGAGTCTCGGTGAGAATGGATTTGCCAAACATCGACACTTCCGTGTTTGTGATCACTCGGTCGGCCTTATCGAACCACGACTGATCCCGCGCTCCAAACTTTGACCTCCCCATGCACCCGGTCGGCAGGTACACAGCAGCATTCGTTCCCGTGCCCAAGATCAATGCCATCGATGTCGTGGGATCGAGATATGCCTGAGAAAGAAGAGTCGCGGAAGAATCATTGACAATGGCGTCGACACGGACATTCACATTTCTCCTGGCGCAGGCGGCTTCGATAAGTTCACCCAGATCCATGCCAAGTGTCGTCTCAGCACAAGCGAACCCTTTGCCCATTCCTTGCACTTTGCCGCCACGGTGACTCGTCTGCTCGATGGGAAAGCTCCAAGCCAGGCCCATTGGCAGTATCTTCTGAGACGAGCACGCTTCCTTTGTCTTGTCCAACATATCTGCAATCCTGCTGGCCATCCAATCAAAAAATTCTGTGCCAGGTAGTCTGCGGATGTGTTCGTCGATCTTTGAGCTCGCAATATGCTTGATCACCATCGGGTTCTGCGAGTCCCTTCCGTGCAGCTCGACCAACGCGATTCTGAGAGTTGAGCCACCGACATCCAGAGAGATATACGTCCCGCTCTCTCTCCCATCCGGAAGTGCATAGCAATAGGAAGGCAGCATACAAGCCTCGCTCTCCAGCAGTTTTGCCTTGTACTGGATGCGGAGGGCCGAGGACATGGACACCATTCGGCGCAGGGTGCATGGCGATCTGAAGAGCCGCATGACTTCATCCTTCAGCGACTCGAGGGTATGCAGGCTGCCGGTGGTCTCGACGACGGTGACTTCGGCACTGGAGGACTTGACCGAGACCGACATGGTCTTGAAAGCGGAGGGGAAGATGATCTTTCCCAGGCGCCGCAGAATGCTGCGGAAGAATTCGAGGAGGGTCATGGTGGAGGAGGACGAGGCCGGTCTGGTTGCCTCACGGTGTTCAGCTGCCTTCCTAGCGGTAGAGGTAAATCATATTGGGCTCGAGGGCCGACTTTTGTTCGCGGTGGGAGACGGGCACAGGGTGATGCGAGTGCGAGGTGAGAGTGAGATGTCACAATCCAGCAAATTCTACCCGTGACACATGGACCCCCAGGAGACTGCGACAGACACCGTGGGAGAAGAGGCAGAGGCTGAATGGTGCAGGTAGTGGTAGCATAGCATTCATCACAACCCCGAACGGAGCATTGTCGTCAAACAAAGGTTAACCTCGAGGGCAAGAAACGGCTAAATGGAGACGGGTGCAACAACGATGATAGGCCTGCAATCGACACCGTGTCGAGGTAAATCCGGCGTCATTGTGAAGAGGCAGAGGAGAGCATGAGGAACCTTACATGGTGACAGTGGTGATGGCGGGCTTCGTCGGGCCTTGCCTGCGTTGCTTTGCGTTGCGTTACAATGTTGCTGGAGAGCGCAGAGTGCTACGGTAGAGTCGCAGCTCACCGCCCAGGCCACTCGGTTGCAGGGCGGCGGCCGGGGCCATCAGGGCTTAGAGTGCCGCCGAGCTACACGTTACATTTCAAGGTCACGCTCTCCCCATCGCCCACGCCAACGCCAACGTGCTCCGATCGTTGCTTCTTTGCTCTCTCAGCGCTTTCGGAGAATGCAACTCATCCCATGCGAGTTGTGCATCTGCTAGGATCGGCCGCCACCACTGCCAGTGTGCTGCTCGTCTGGGGATATTATGTCAGAAAGCTGATGTACTGTACTTGGTGTGCTTTGGGTTTTCTGTCAGCCGCTGCCACAACCAGTACACAATACAATTGATGTCTTCGTTGCTCTTGTTGCAATTTTCAGGCCGACGGACACCTGATGCCACCCCTGCTTGACGCTGGAACTAGCCTTGTTTGCCTCTCCAGTATCTCTTCTCAACAGCGCTGGGCATTATGACAAGTGCCTGAATGGGCCTTGCTTCATAAAGGTGGTGTGCTACTTTTGAGACATGGGAGAGGCCGAAAGATATGACCCGAGCCCGCGTAGACATCGACTGAGACTGTCCGGCCAGTTTGAGATCAGTCAGCCTCTGTGACAATCCAGCCTCGCCGGGTATGATGCCCGTGTCTCCAGATGACCTGAACAAGAGGGGATTTGTCTCAGTCTGGATATGGGGAGGAGATCTGCACGATGTGGTGTAAGCCAGCTGCCCGCATCTGCACGCTTTGAACGTAGGTGTCCTTGTAGTACAACCCCAAGGGTCGTGCCGTGGTTACACAGGGCGATCTGGCCTCGAATTCTACGCGCAAAGGGGTTGCAAAGGGCGGTGCTTCAGTATCATAGCGACCCCTAATATCTAACTACCTCCTGAGGCGCGCATCTGTCATGGCACACGCAGGTAGGAGTCCTGGGGTACCCAAGGAGACCGCTATATCAGAAACGGTCGCCATTCGAGCATGTACGAGTACTGTGTATGGTGGGCCGCGAGACTATGTACCTTGCTCGCAGCTGTCAGGCGCATGTGCCTATCGATTGGGGGTTGTCAGTTTTGTCATGGATGCGTGACCCAAACCGACGTCCTTTGAACAGCAAAGTGGCTTGTTCTCGACTGATTTGATCCCCAATTTGACTGAGGCTGTGAAAGGGCAAGACCAACTTCGATGCTGGTCGCATGCACGAAGCCGAAAGGTTCTGCAAACCCTCACGGCCTCGTCCTGACCGCTATTCATGGTGGTTCATCAATCCTGATTCCATAATTAGTGAGCAGCTGCGATTTCATGGCAGACTACAGCTCCGAGTCGCATTCGATGACTGTTCTTCTTGTGTTTTGGCCAGCAGATTGTCTGGTCCGACAAACAGGCTGAACGGACTCGACCTGCGAGCAATCATTATCCGGAAATGCACCATGATGGATCCCGGCTGTCAAGGCTGCACTTGTGATGGACGCCATGCCGCGTCTACTCGTACCAGGTACACCCGCACTCTTCCTCTTTCGCTGCCGGTCGAGGCCGACGGACAACGATCACCAGGGTGCCCTAGCCTCATCACAGAGCACTGAAGCAGTTCATCCGCGGCTCGACATCCGGCTCGCCTCTATTCGCCTAAGCTCGTCTCGTCCTGCTGAGCCACAGCCCTGGGCGACCTGGGCGACCTGGGCAGGGCACCCCGGCTTCGTCAAATTGGCCCTACGAATGTGCTTACCCCGAGTACTACGACACCCGGAGTTCCAGCCGTCAGTGACAGCTCGTCACGGTCCGGCTTAGCAGCTTTCTCTGCGAGAAAGAGGTGCAATGCCCTGCTCTGCTACGGTCCGGACGCGTGGAGGTGGTTTGTTTACGCTGCTTCGTGTTTCAACGCCTGGCGTGGTACCATGGAAGCTTTCGCGTCGTGGTTTCGTGGTTTAGCGGCGTCGGCATGGCCTCCTGTCGCCCAGTCACGGTGAGTTTGGGCTTTGTGTATGACAACTTCCGGGCAGGTTCCAAGGACCCGCGTGGAGCTAAGCGACGACCAACCACCGGCTTTCAACAGCCTTGTTGTGCCTCGTGTGATGGACCCCCCGGTCCCCTGCCACCTCCATGCTTCAAGCTCATCCCCTGTCTGATGTTTGACTTGGGAAAATGCCCTCGTCGACCTCGACCTTCCAGCATCATCCTCGCCCCAGGCCCGTGTGTAGGAGATTTGCTGAGCTCGTCGTGGCTCCGTTTCTCCCTGTAGACCATGACCTCTCCTCCTCTTGCATCTCGGATGTGTCTTTTTCATTCTCGACCAGAACATGGTGTTTCCTCGCCAGCGTATCGTCTCTGAAATAGCATCGGTCTTGATCTACGCCCAGCATCCGCTGGAATCCGACAGTCTTGTTCGACCCAACCACGTCAATGCCCGTTGACGTGCCCGTTTGACACGGAAACTGGCCTTGAGAGTTCAATAAAGCACTTTGTCGAGGCCAATGTCAAACCCACAACTGTAACCTTTTCACATCATGGAGTCGCGGTTACGGAAATTGCTTTCACCCAGGAAGCACAAGGCTCCAAGCATCGATGCCACTGCTGAGCTGGATCTGCAGAGCATACCATCTAGCACGACTCCATCGCAAGGCCGACTACCTGTGCTCATCGGCCAAGCGCTAAGGAAAACCCGTGCAGTCAAGCTGCGCGAAAGCAGTCTGCCAACTGACCCTCTCTCTTCGTTCTCCTACGAAGAGGCCGCACCGGGCAAGCCTCCCCAGCTGGGCGATCGGCCTCAGCGAGGCAATGGGCCGGTCAAGCTTCAAACCAGTCGGCGCCTGAGTTCTGGAGAGCTACTGGTCACGGAGCAGGACTACGATCGCACGCTGGAGGAGATCCGGGAAGGAGAGTACATCGTCGGCGGCAGAGACAGAAGGGTCTCAAAGTCATCTTCTCAACCCAAGTCACCCACGGAACCCACCAGTCTGAAATTCATCTCAACGGCTCCCAGTTCGCCTAGAGAGGACGTTGTTTTCTCTGCTCCAATCTGGCAGCCACCATCTGTACCCAGCGAGTTTGGCCCAGTGGCGTCTCCTGCTTTGAACTCCAGTATTTTCCATCCGCCGCAGCGTTCGTTCTCGGCTCAAGCATGTTATCCAGACTACCGCCACGATGGCTTTGGACTTTCAAGTCCAGCGCAACCGCTCTATGCTCGTCCCTTGACGTCAAGTACGTCCCTCTTAGAAACTCAAGAGGAGCATAACCCGACGATTCATGCGCTCTGGAAAGCCGAGTATAGTCGGCTTGTGTCCATGTGCGGACAGACAGGTGTGGACCAACCCATGGTGGAGCGTGGCATTGACCATGGTGCTGCTCCTTCGACACATTCCTCGTCCGTCAACCGCCATAGGTCCTGCTCGCACTCATCTCGATCGTTAAGCCAGCCCTTTCATCTGACAAACAGTCTTGCAAGGACCGGAGCATGTTTGAGAACAAACGCATCCACGTCGGTCCTCGACCTGGCCTACCACGATGACCGCTCGGAAGGGTCATCGCACCTGAGATACTCTCACCTCTCCTCGAGCGGGGCGTCCTCATCCCTCACCACGCGGACAAGCATGGCCGAAGAGTCCAGCACTACGAGGGATGACATTCGCAAGATCGTTGACGAAATGCGGACGACATATCTACAGGCCATTGAAGCTCAAACTCCACCCCTGCATCCTGTGTCGAGCCCATCGTTGGACAGGCCTCGATCTAAGACGCAAACACCGTCTCTCATGTCGTATGCCTCTGTTGATAGCAGCCTGAGGTCTGCCAGTCGACAGTCCACGAGCACGACGCGCACCAAGTCGTGGCAGTCGAATTCGACCCATTTCACGACTCCTCGCCCATCCACAACCTCACCGATGAAGTCGAAACGGCCAGGATCGGCCACAAGCCGACGGACTTCTGGCCAACCTGGAGCCGGCATCGCCACCTTGACGCCCATCGAAGCAAGCCCTGCGAAATCCGCCAAACTGAGCCAAAACAAGAAACCCCACGACGGTGGTGGCGGCGGAGGTCTGAAACGGGCCGACTCGACGACCTTGGGCGCAATGGCCAGGAAATTGGCCATCGTCGACGACCGCCTCTCGACCGTTTCTTCCCAGCCAGGCTCGAAACGGCCGCCGACGTTCTACAACTCCTCGGGCTCCGACTCGGACTCATCCTTGTCCGCGGCGTCGTCGCCCACGAAGGACTCGTCAGTGCAGCACACGCCAGTGAAGCACAAGTCCTCGGCACGGCAGCAATCGCCGCTCGCGAAACATCCCTGGCAGATCGATGTCGATCAGATCCTCCCGCGAGACGAGGACCTCGAACTGGCGCTTGACCTTGACGATTTCGAGACCCTGTGCGATGGCTTGTTCAACGCGCCGGCCTCGACGGGAAATGGACGACCCGGCATATTCGAGGCGTGGAATGATCGTGACGCAGCGGCAGCACCTCCCCAGCGCCACAATACCGATACCGATACCGATACCAATATCGATCCGTTCGACCACGACGCATTCGCCTCAACCGGGCCGGCCGAGCTGAAGATGTCCAAGTTCGCCAACCACCAACTGGGGCTGGGCTTGGGCTTGACGGGCCTCCCTGCCATGATATGATGTGAAAAGACATGTCATGATATGATATGATATGATACCATATGATCCCGATATTTGATGATACGACACCAATGTTTTGATGTTTGACGCGCGGTAATGAGTCTCTGACTGTACGGGGTATTCCTTGGGTTTTTGTGTCTGAATGAGCTGCGAACGATCTGTTGGGGATGGGAAAAGTCGGCACGCTATTTTTATTTTGTTTTGTTTTGTTTCGTCTCAATCCATCTCATCGAGATATCCACATATACTACATACACCACATGCACCAGAAGCCGCGGCGCACGCAAGCACGCACGTTGTACGACTGTTTGAAGCTACTCGGTCAATTCCTGCTGCTCATCGTTGGATGAGCTTTCGTTTCGACATCACATTCCGTTTCACGTCTCACATCAATCACATAACATCACATCACACCACAAGGGATATCCACTGTTTGGGTCTCCGTGCCTTTACGACGAGCTCTTTCCTTTTTTTTCCCCCCAGGAATGGGCCTTTTTTCGGGGATGTCATGTTGGCGGCCTTGGGTGGTCGGTCGGACGGTCGGACGAGCGCAGCAAAGCAAAGCAAAGCAACAAAATGGACATTATAAGGGAATGGAAACGGCGTTGAGGAATGCACACGCACGGGCGATGGGAAGGCCGACCTTCCGGCGCGGACAGGAGTAAGCTACTGTGAGGAGCAAGGACAAAGGGCATAGAATGATACGATGATATCAGGCGTACGTAGAGAGGCTCAAGCACACGCACGGACATGGACATGGACACGGACACGGACAGGGACGTGGGAAGGGACAGGGATAGGGACATGGACGTGGATAGGCATCACGGTTGGAAAAGACTACATCAAGCTTGGAATATAAGGACAAGGCAAGACATGGCGAGGCAAGACATGGCAAGATATTTCCTACGGGAAGGGCTCGATATATCCTGTAGCACCCGTCCAGTCTAGGGTAGGACACAGTACAGTACTCTATATACCACTGAATTGCCACTGACTGCTACTGAATGCACTGAATGCACTGAATGCCACTGACTACTATGGAATGCTATGCTTGTGCGATTGAAATCGTTCTAACAGGCCCTGTTATCCCGCGCACAAAGGATCGTATTGGATGGGATGGGATGGGATGTGATGGGATTAGTTGTCGATTTAATGCTCAGCACGTCCGTCTTGCTTTCTCTACGGTATCTATATACCTCTGTACCTCTATACCTATATGCCTATATGCCTATATACCTATGTACCTCTGTACCTATCTGGTGCGTGCCTACCTGGTAGCTTTACCTCCCTACTTACCTGACTCCCCGCCTACTTTTCCTCTTCCTCTTCCTCTTCCTCTTCCTCTTCCTCTTCCTCTTCCTCTTCCTCT